CTTGCTATTTCAGGAAAATTTCCTGAATGCCTTTTGGGGGTGGGGTAGGGGTAGACAGCCCATTTTATGAGGCAAATCTGGCTTTGATTTAATGTCCCATCTGAAGGAGAACACCTCTGGTAATGCAGTGCCACTAGATTATGTCCTTATGTCTTGGAGCGAGTTATGAGCCCATGCTTGTCGTCTTTAAGAGGTGAAGGCATCCATTGAAGCAAGCTAACAATATTTACCTTCAGTCTCTGGAATAGAATAGGTTGTGGTTCATGCTGCTAATGATTGCCTGGCCATTCCTGTTGGAAATTAAACATAGTGGATAGGGGTAATAGTGCCTGCGACGACATGATTGAAGAATCAGCTGATGTCAGCTTTGTGAAAAGGGAATATTTAAATATGCTTTGAGTTTTACAATATGAAATTCCAACTAACTCTTGATTCTGCGTGCAATTGTAACTTTCAGTCGGAAAAGTGTGACTGTAATTCTATGAGTAAGCTTGTTGTTTGCTTACATAGGTCGACGCTTCATTATCTTTTCTGGATGGTTTTGTTGCTGATGCTTTGGGTCATGGAGCTGCACCATATAAGCCACACCATCAAAGACAGGAAGAGAGGTTGTCAGAAGAGAAAGGTAAAAAAAAAAAAAAAAAAATTCCACTTCAGTGATGAGCTAATAGATTGATGCACAGGTTCAAACATCAGAGACATGGGGCTTGTGCATCAAATTAAATTCAAAGTGAAAGTCCAACCTCTGGGAGCTTTTTGACGATGCACTGAATCATCAGCAAGCATTTCCCAAAATAAGGAGGAGGCATTAATAAAAGCTGGCTTTTAAAACATTGTGAAAAATAACTTAATTTTGTATTATAGGAGTCATCGGAACCCAAAGAGACGAATTTAATGTGTGCTTTCAGAGTCTTGTTTAAATTGTATAGTAAAGAGATTATAATGATTCTCTTAAAAATGGTGTTGTGTTGGATGCAGTGTCATTGTGAACTGGATGCTTTTCTGGATATGGGGAAATCACAGTAATGGTTTCTAAAATGTCTTATTTCCCAGAATATGGGTGTTGCTGGCAAGGTCATTGCTTGTTGCTCATCCTTAATTGCCTTTAAACTGAGTGGCTTGCTGTGCCTTTGCAGAGGGCAGTTAAGAGTCAACCACATTGCTATGGGTCTGCATTCACCTGTAAGTCAGGTAAGATGGATTTCCTTCCCTGAAGGATGTTAGTGCATCAGCAGGGTTTATATAACAATTGGTAATGGTTTCATGGCCACCATTACTGAGACTAGCTTTCAGTTTCAGAATTTAGTAAATTTGGATTCCTCTAACTGCCATGATGGGATTTGAACCCATACCTACAGAAGGACTCTGGAGTACCACGTCACTGACATTGCTACTATGGAAAGCATTCCATTACCTTCAAGTAATTGATTGATATTGTTGTTGAGATTTTTGCCTTGTTTTACACTCTCATTTTTACAATATGAATAGCCTTGTAATGAAATGAAATTCATACTTTGCAGTATTTAGGTTTAAAACTAACCAGTGAAGCAGAATTCTGGATTCAACTAAAAATGTGCTTCTAATGTACTGTCAGCAATTTGGATTGCCTCTTCAGACTTTTGTGCCCCTAAGTTATTTTCCCTCCAGCAGATGCAAATAAAAATCCACAGTATTTTTCTTTTATTATATAAGTATAGGAATGTTCTGTGTACCCACCCGTCAAGATGTATGAAACTGGAACTGTTTAATTTTATGTATCAGAAATGTCATTTGAGTCATTGGATTTTTGGGGCTTGCTATTTTGGCTTTCCCAGGAAATAGTTGTGTAACAAAATCTTTTATCTTTAGAGGGTTAACGGCACTCTAGTTGTAGCGGTTTATCGATCAAAACTATGGATGATGAATAGGTACTTGTGAAATACTGGTCAAGCTGCCGTAATAGCACAGAATGAATGGTTCTTTGGACTAGGATCTTTGCCACTTCTCCATTAGAAGTTTGACTATTGTTTGAAAGTATGCAGCAAAGTTTTGTTTTTTTGGCATCTGTACTCACTTACTGTGATAAGGTTCGCTAATGCAAAGGTGTTATTAATGCTTAAACAGCTGCTGAATTGGAGAGGCGGGGAAATGTGGAGGAATATCATATTGTCTGGATAAAATAATCTTAACACCAAACCTAATGGGAAGCCTAATCTGAATTTTAGTTGCAAATTTGTGTTGAGCATTGGTGCTGGGATTGCTGGGCCTACTTTGGATCACAATGTAACTTTTTAGGCCCCTGCTGGAGCTGGGAGAAGGCGTTCTAGGGCCTCCAGACCTCCAGGGTTGCCTTCCCATTTGTGGCTGGAGCCCCCCTTGCTTCTCCAATCTCCTGACGTGTCTTTCTGTTGTAAACTATTCCCCTGAGTTGGGGTTATGGCCTGTTATTTCTGAATTCCATTCCGATCAGAGCTCATGTCTTTGGAAATTCGAGCAGTCTTTGCTTGTTTGCATTGTATTAGTTCATTATTTCATTTTTTTTGTTGTTTTAGTTTGATCAATAGTGCAAATTCTATTTTGATTTTTTTTTGAATGCTGTAAGATGCAAACTGAAGTTGGAACATGCCGTCAGCTTTAGAACATCAATTTTTTTTGGCTTCCTATAAATTAAACTAGCCATGTATTCTGACTTTTCCATTTTTGGAAATGGCTCATATGAAAAAAGGAGTATGTTCACCATTGCCTCACTTGAGGGGTGAAAAACACTACTCTATAGTCTGCATTTCTAAAATCTGTGAAAGGTCAAAAGCCCTTGTATTCCTGCCATGCCAAGTATCTGAAGCAGTGTATTTGGAATTTCTGTTCTGACAGGTTATTAGCTTTCATAGGAGGATCAAGAATTATTGGAGATGGTCCCTGTCTTTTAATAGTTCTTTGTATTGATCAATTGTGAAACTGTGTGTGAGTAAACTGTTGAATCTTCTTGTACCAGTCAAAGCTTTTATATAGGGTCGTACAGCACAGAAACAGACCCTTCAGTCCACCCCATCCGTGCCAACCAAATTCCCCAAACTAAACTAGTGTCACTAAGGTTTTGGAGTAGATCTGTAGCTCGGGTTGTGAGTGTTGAGGTTGGTTGGCTCGCCGAGCTGTTTTGTTGTTTTGCAGACGTTTTGTTACCGTGCTTGGTAACATCCTCCGTGCAGCCTCTGATGAAGTGTCGGTGTGTTTTCCCACTTGGTTTTTAAACTCTGGGGTCCGTTGTGTTGGATTACCACACTTCCGGGTTTCCTCCGTAGTGGAATGTATATGGGGTCAAGTTCAATGTGTTTATTAATAGCCTGCTTCGTGGAGTGCCATGTTTCACTCACTCATCTCAATCCACATGGACAAGGAGAACCACGACTTCGACTGGGACAACATCAAGATCCTGGGACAGGCTAGGCAGAGACAAGCCCGAGACTTCCTGGAAGCGTGGCACTTCACGAAGCATGCTATTAATAAACACATTGAACTCGACCCCATATACATTCCACTACGGAAGAAACCCGGAAGTGAGGCAATCCAGCGCAACGGACCCCAGAGTTTAAAATCCAAGTGGGAAAACACACCGACGCTTCATCAGAGGCTGCACTGAGGATGTTACCAAGCACGGTAACGAAACGTCTGCAAAACAACAAACCAGCTCGGCGAGCCAACCAACCTCAAAACTAGTGTCATTTGCCTGCGTTATGGCCGATGGCCAATATCCTTCTAAACCTTTCCTATTCATGTACCTGTCCAAATGTCTTTTAAACGTTGTAACTGTACCTGCATCCACCACTTCCTCTGGCAGCTCATTCCAAATATGAGCCACCCTGTGAATGAAAAAGTTGCTCCTCGGGTCCCTTTTAAATCTTTCTCCTCTCACCTTATATAATTGTGTATTATTTTGAAAAATGAAATCAGAGGTTGCTCTGAGAGGGAGGACTGACTGCTGGGGGTAAGTTATGACTCATATGAAAAGATGATGCACAGCTAGGCTTACTAATGACATTTAAGTTTAATCTACTTTAATAAATTTCAGACTTAAAATCTTTAGTCAATTATATAAAGGTCCTTGAAGTCAGTATGTGACTCAGCAATGAAGCAATCTTTTTCAAGCAGTCAATGATTTGTTTTGAAGAAATTGCTTAGTAGCTTAAGACCTAAACCCACCTCCACTAATAAATGCTCTCCAGATAATGATGAACTTGTTTTTTTTACATTTGAGTGATTTGCTTTCTTCCTGAACTGTTTAGCCCATATTGCTGTCTTTAGTAAGTAACCTGGTCACTCTTTGTCTGCACCTGTCCTTGGTTGTATGATACCATGCATCAGCAGACCACACATCAGCCTTTGGATGGATGCCTGTCACTGCACAGTTTACTTTGAGCTGGGGACATGTAGTTAAACAGCAAAATAAATGCTGCTTTTTTTTTTTGGAACTGTTACGTATGTCAACCTGGCACCTTTTCTGCCGAACCATCGCATATCTTACAAACAACAGAGCAATAAAGGTTGTTTTTTCAGTATTATTCAAAGAGGAGCAGTATTAACCCCAGGTCTGCTCAATATTGTTAGTAAAGTTAGACTTTTCATGTTTTTGACAGTCTAAAGGTGTGCAAGTTAGGTGGATTGGCCATGCTAAATTGCCCATAGTGGCCAGGGATTTGTGGGCTAGATGGATTAGCCATGGGAAATGCAGGGTTACAGGGATAGGGTAGGGGAATGGATGCTCTTTGAAGGGTCAGTGTGGACTTGATGGCCTGAATGGCCTGTTTCTACACTGCAGAGATTCTGTGACTTTATTTTCTAGGATTGGGAGATTACCTAGCTCCTGTTTCAAATAGTGCTCATTTGACAGACATTTTAAGATTCATTACTAGTGTTAACTTCACACTCTAATGATGCCAACGTAATGCTTAACTATCTGTAGGTTACAAAGGTGGGGAAAATGTTGAAAAATTAACAAAATGTGTCTGTGCTGTTGAAAATTAGTTTAACTTGTAGTCAAAGATCTGGGGTTCTTAAATGTCCTTTTTCTGGAATTTTGTGGTCATTTATACCGATTAATCAATGTATTGTGTGACTGTTTCTTTTGAGGCCATGGGTTAGCTGTACCAAATTTAAATGCTCTATTGACCAAAGATCAGGAGAGTTTCCTCCTTTTTTGACCTTAGTCTAAACATTGCTGTTTAAAGGAAACCACATTGGTATCACAATTATTGTGCAGACCCAGTGTGAGTATATTCTCCCGTGACCATATTGATTTTATTTTATCTTTTTTTGGGAAGAAGAGAAATTATTAGCCTTGTTAATATTGCAGCACTTTTCACATTTTGTCTTGATTCACACGAAAGGATGGTAATACTTGAAAATAAAATATTGTTTCTGTAAATCCTATCGAAGTACTCCAGTAAGAATGGAAATTTGGCTGTACTTGTGGAGTTAATCTCCAAATATTTGGACAAATAGATTGCATCATGTCCAACTAATAGCCCCAAAATTGCTGGAAAATAATGGTGAATGGACTGTGCTCATCATTGTTAGTGCTTTAATGAAATAGCAATTTGTGACCCAAAAGAAATGTGTTCCAATTTACTCAGTTAGCCTTGTGAAAATCAATAAACAATATCATACTGAGAGTCTGTCCAAAGTGAGTCATAAAAGGACTCACCGTCATCCCCCTCCACCCAAACGTCAATGAATGCTTGGACGTCGAACAGTTTTTCCGCCGTCTCCATCTCTGCGCTTATTTCTTTAACTGCGAGTCAAACCCTTCCCTTCTACAGACCCCTTCTCCCGCCTCCAATACACCCCATCCACCTGGGCACCACCCCAAGGCCTCCTACCCTCCCTCGACCTCTTTATCTCCAAGTACCGTAGCGACATCGATCGCCTCAATTTCTCCACCCCTCTCACTCAGTGCAGCCTCTTCCCCCATACATGCAGCCCTCTGCTCCAGCCCTAACCTGACTATCAAACCCACGGATAAGGGAGGCACAGTTGTAGTGTGACACACTAACCTTTACATCGCTGAGGCCAGGCACCAACTCTCTGACACCTCCTCCTACTGCCCCCCTGATCATGACCCCACCCCTGACCACCAAAGCATCATCTCCTAGACCATCCATAACCTCATCACCTCGGGTGACCTCTTGCCCACGGCCTCTAACCTCATCGTTCCCCAACCCCACGCCGCTTGTTTCTGTCTCCTTCCCAAAATCCACAAACCTGACTGCCCTGGCCGACCCACTGTCTCTGTCTGCACCTGCCCCACTGAACTTATCTTCGCTTACCTCAACTCTCTTTTCTCCCCCCTGGTCCAGGAACTCCCCACCTACGCCCTCCACCTCCTCCGAGACTTCCAATTCCCCGGCCCCCAACACCTCATCTTCACTATGGATGTCCAATCTCTGTATACTTGCATTCCCCGTGCAGATGGCCTAAAAGCCCTCCGCTTCTTCCTCTCCCGCAGGCCCAACCAGTCCCCCTCCATCAACACCCTTATCCGCTTAACTGAACTTGTCCTTAGCCTTAACAACTTCTCCTTCAACTCCTCCCACTTCCTACAGACTAAGGGGTTGGCCGTGGGTACCCGCATGTGCCCAGGCTATGCTTGCCTCTTTGGGGGATGCATGGAACCGTCCCTCTTCCGCAGCTACACTGGCCCCATCCCCTACCTCTTCCTCCGCTACGTTGATGACTGTATCGGCACCGCCTTGTGCTCCCACGAGGAGCTCGAACAGTTCATCAACTTTACTAACACCTTCCACCCCAACCTCAATTTCACCTGGACCATCTCTGATACCTCTCTCTCCTTCCTGGACCTCTCTGTCTCCATTTCTGGTGACCACCTCGAAACTGATATCTCTTTCAAGACCACCGACTCCCACAGCTACCTAGACTACACCTCCTCTCACCCACCTTCCTGCAAGAATGCATTCCCCTACTCCCAATTCCTCCGCCGCATCTGCTCCCAAGATGAGGCGTTCCACTCCTGAACATCCCAGATGCCCTCGTATTTCAAGGGCTGCAACCTCCCCCCTTCAGTGCTCGAAAATGCCCTTGACTGCATCTCTTGTGTTTCCCGCTCCTCAGCCCTCACACCTGCTCCCCGCAATAAAAACAAAGACAGAATCTCCCTTGTCCTCACGTATCACCCCACTAACCTCCGGATTCAACGCATCATTCTCAGTCGCTTCTGCCACCTGCAATCTGACCCCACGACGAAGGATATATTTCCCTCCCCACCCTTATCTGCCTTCTGGAGGGACCGCTCTTTCCGCGACTCCCTCGTCCACTGCACACTCCCCACTAGCCCCACCACCCCTGGCACCTTTCCCTGCAACCCAAGGAGGTGCTACACCTGCCCCTACACCTCCCCTGTCAACTCCATCCCAGGCCCCAAAAAAACTTTCCACATCTGCACATCTGCTAATGTGGTCAATTTTATCCGCTGTTCCTGATGTAGCCTCCTCTACATCGGTGAGACCAAGTGGAGGCTCGGAGACCGCTTTGTGGAGCACCTACGCTCGGTTCACGACAAACGACCACACTTTCCAGTCGCGAACCATTTCAACTCCTCCTCCCACTCCCTGGGCGATGTCCATTCTGGGCCACTTCCAGTGTCACAACGATGCCACCCGGAAACTGGAGGAGCAGCACCTCATATTCCGCCTTGGAAGCCTGCAGCTCAATGGTCTCAATTTGGACTTTACCAGCTTCAAAATCTCCCCACCCCTGACCTCATCCCAAGATCAACCCCGCCTCCTTGACCTGTCTGTCTTCTCTCCCACCTATCAGCTGCTCCCACCTCACTGACCAATACCCACCACTACCTACCTGTACTCACCTATCACCATCCCACCTACCTTCCCCAGCCCAACCCCCCTCCTCTCTATTTATTTCAGAGCCCCCTTCCCCTCCCCCATTTCTGAAGAAGGGCCCCGACCTGGGATGGAGGGGGCAGGGGTAGCACCTCCTTGGGTTGCAGGGAAAGGTGCCAGGCGTGGTGGGGCTAGTGGGGAGTGTGCAGTGGACGAGGGAGTCGCGGAAAGAGTGGTCCCTCCAGAAGGCAGATAAGGGTGGGAAGGGAAATATATCCTTCGTCGTGGGGTCAGATTGCAGGTGGCAGAAGTGACGGAGAATGATGCGTTGAATCCAGAGGTTAGTGGAGTGATACGTGAGGACAAGGGGGATTCTGTCTTTGTTTTTATTGCGGGGAGCTTTCCTGCTCCTCTGATGCTGCCTGGCCTGCTGTGTTCCTCCAGCTCCACACTGTGTTATCTCAGACTCCAGCATCGGCAGTTCTGACTATCTCTCAGAAAATGGTAGGATTTGTACCATTAATGCAAAATAATCTTATGGCTGGCAATCCAAGTTGGAAGCACTGTATCACGGACATGATTTACAGTCTTGCCATTCCATTCAACCTTGGAGAAACCAAACTGGCAGTTCACGCCTATAGTAGTAAGTAGATTGTTCGTTAAGTTTTTAAAAACATGGCACTTTTTTTTTCTAAAACTCTTTGTTTTTCTCTCTTTATTTTCTTCTCAGTATCTTTCTTGCTTTGAATTCAACATGTTTCTTTCTCTGTTGACTCTGTTTCTTTCTCTACCTATCTTTAAATTTTATGGTTTAAGAGGAAGCACATTGGAGCTGGTGCTTGTGAGACTCAGATTCCCCATTTATGATGCAACATCTTTCATGTAGATCACTATTCAGCAAATGCATTTCACTGAGAGAGAGCACCACCAAGTGGCAAAGTGGAACTAAAAGAGATAGTGTCAGGGGATACAGTTGCTTATTCTTTCGTTACTGGTTTTATATTAATTAGTATTTAAGTATTTCCTGTTAGAGTAAGTGTGGATTTTTGTTTGTTCTAAACAATTTAACCTTACCCAGGTTTACATGTTTAAAGACTTATTACACAAACTCAAAAAAATACTTTATTTTGCTACAGTCTTGAACTTTGAGCCATATGGACTAGCTTTTGTTACAAGCCCACAAGCCTCCAGTGTTACTGGAAGGCAGTCTCCAACAGGATTATCCATCGGTTCAGAGATTTCTTGCAACAGCACAGAAGCTGGAATAAAAGAGTAAGTTTAAGTTATTTTGGTAGCTATCAGCAGATGAAAGCATGAATGCTACTTGTTTGATACCTTGTAACATCATAAATCCATTATATAGACGTAGCTTTTTGTATTGTTCTTATTTGCAATGCAAAATAGATTTGCCTCCAAATTTTTAGGATTATGATACAACCAGCATTAATTTTTGAACAAGAGCATTCTGGACTCACTCATTTTTCATAGCAGCATTCATATAGACTTCAGTCATTCTTGAAGAGACCAACATAAGATACTAGAATCGTTCTTTGAAATACTGAGTCCTATTTTTCAATCCAATCTTTACTCTATTTGGGCGTGCAAAGATTGTAACTTGCTGAATGTAATTTTAATCACTCGCTGTTTAATTACTTGCAAACAATGACAAAATTTTCTTCTTGGATATCAATGGAGTAGTATTTATTTTTCTCCTTTTTCCACTTCAAGATGTTTTGAAGTGCTGCACAACCAAATAAAGTGCTTTTGAAGTGTATTCGCTGTTAGAATGTAGATGAACTAGGCAACCAATTCTGACGTAGCAATATTGCATTAAACAACAACAATACAACAATTAAATGATCTATTTTAAAGCTGTTCGAGAGTTGCACAATTGGCATAAATGCCATTTGGCTCTTCTTCAGATAGTACAATGGGATTTGTTTTCTCTGTGTGAGAGGGCTTAATGTCTTCTGACAAAAACTATCATCTCCAGCAATGCAGCACTAATGTATTCAAGTACTAACCTAGATTATGTAATAGATTCTCTGAAATGGACCTGAACACTCAACTTTCAGATTCGAGTTGCATGTGTGTTAACAATAAGCTGAAGCTGACCTGATTGTAAAAAAAAAATGAAGTTACGATTTTCAGTTTGAAACTTGCCAATAAGCAGCAGTTGCAGCAGCTTTGCACAGGCTATATGCGATTTTTTGCGTGTGAATTGCATGTTTGAAAACTGAGGTTTTGAGACCATTTAATACATTTTAAGCTTTCAAAAAAAGTTACTGTTCCAATTTTGTAAGTCAAGAAAGATGAATATATATATATATGTATGTATGTATATATATATATGTACTCAAGTCATAGTCGTACAGCACAGAAACAGTCTAACTCGTCCACGCTGACCAAGTTTCTCGAACTTTACTAGTCTCACTTGCCTGCGTTGGCTCATATCCCTTTCCTGTTCATGTACCTGTCCAAATGTCTCTTAAATGTTGTAACTGTACCTCATTCACTACTTCCTCTGGCAGTTCATTCCATATATGAACCACCCTCTGTGTAAAAAAAATTGCTCCTCAGGTCTCCTTTAAATCTTTACGCTCTCCCCTTAAAATTATGCCCTCTCGTTTTGAATTCCCCTACCCTAGTGAAAAGACCTTTGCTATTCACCTAATCTATGCCCCTCATGATTTTATAAACCTCTATAATGATACCTTTCAACCTCCTATGCTCCAGTGAAAAAAGGTCCCAGCCTATCCAGCCTCTCCTTGTAACTCAAACCCTTCAGTCCCGGCAACATCCTGGTAAATCTTTTCTGAGCACTCTCCAATTTAATAATATCATTCCTATAGCAGGATGACCAGAACTGTGCACGGTACTCCAAAGTATATAATGTATATGAAGTGTATTTTTTAAAAAAAAAGTCAACGTTAAGAAAACGGGTCCTTTGATCCTATTAGCATGACTTCTGTAATTTACCAGATTTACAATACAGATCATTATAGATCATTATAACCACGTTAAGAATTATTAAATTTGAAGGTGAAAAGACTGCATATATGCAATTACAAATGCATAATCAAGGTAATTAGGACTAGTTTCCATTTAAAATTATAATTAAATAGTTCATTCAACTAAGGTTTTATTCCCTTGATTCTGGTCTATTTCTGGTCTCCTGATTGTGGGTAACTGTTGAATGAAGGACAGACAGTTGTATATAGTAAGGCATTTAATTGTATGAGGAATTGTCACTGACTACTGTCATGCTTCTAGTTGCCTCAAGTGATATAGGCAAAATCCTGGGAGCAATTGTTCATCTTTATTTACCCCAAAGAGGTGACATTTCAAAAGAGCAGTGGAAGATAAGGGTATTTTTATATTCTTCAATTAAGGAATGATAAAGGAACAATGTATCTTCTTTATATAGCCTCTTGCGTTCTATGGCTTCTAAAGTATTTTCTAAGTCATTGATTGGAACATTTCAAAATGCGGTCACTGCATTAGCATAGGCAAATAAAGCAGCCAGTCTAGGGGAAGTGTAATTTATTTAAACATCCCACAAGCATTAGTGCAGTTACAACAGAACAACTGATCGTTTATGATCCTGGTTGAAGGATTAGGCCAAAGCATGAGGCAAACTTTCATGCACTTCTTTGAATTGCGTCATAGGACCTTCTGTATGTACTTTTACAAGCAGATGTATCTTGACTTTTGTCTGATCCAAAGGGTGCGCTCAGTGCTGCACTCGAGTGTTCACTTAGAATTGAGTGGAGTTTCTGGAGTGGATCTTGAACCTATGACCTCCTGATAGATGCTGAAGTGCTTCCATTGAACTAAAGCTGACAAATAGCTTCCAACCAGTACTATAAATGTTAGTTGCTCTCCATTATGCAGTTCTGCAGTAATCTATTTATACGTTTTTAAAAATCTTTAAATCCTCTTGTGCAGCCATGCATGTGCATGAGTTAGTGTCTAACCTGTGCATAGCCCGTATGGGTATTTTCAGGTTGCCATGTGACAAACTGTTTAGAGGAAACATTGTCTAAAAATGTCAAGAATTCTATTTTAGTTTAATTGTAGCAGTTGAATGTCTACAATGGTGATTTCTAACATGGTTGAATAAGACAGCTTCAGCCAGCATTTGAATAAAGTGTGTTGAATTGTGAACCTCTTTCATTTAGTTCAAATAGTCTTAAGCTCGATGGAGTAAAGAAAGTGTGGGGCAAGGAGGGCTATCTTCGGAAGAAGGAGTCCAAAGAAGAAACCTTATCAAGTCCCAGTTCTGAAAGTGAAACAACTACAGACCGCTCCTCTAAAACTGAAAGAACTGCAACATTTTCTGCAGAAGCCCAAGAGAAGCAACAGTTGGCATCATCATTGTTTGTTGGGTTAGGATCCAGCAATTTAGTCAGTCTGGTAAGTGAATATTAACATGTTGCACAAGTAGAATTGTGCTCTAAGCATGAATTATAAAAGCCTCAGTGGTCTCGCCGTTTAGAAGAATTGTCATGAATCTGTCTCTGTGTTGCTTCTTATGATGCATGGTATAAATGATCTGCACTTAAGACTTGTAGGAGGTGAATTATCAACATTTGTATGACTTTTGAACAATATTGAATCGAATTAGCTTTATTGTCACGCACTCACGAGTGAAAAGTTTACAAGTTGCCACTTACGGCACAAAAGTACCTAGGTACAGATTCTTGAGAACGATTTCTTAGGGGAAAAAAATAGAAAAATAAAGAAATACAAAGTTCAGCATTACAGACCTTCAAAAGTACAAAATTTTAGTAATAAATTAGAAAAATAAAGAAATAAGCAGCTCAGAACAACAGTCCTTCCATGATAATATAACTTTGAAAAAAAAAAAAAAAAAAAAAGATTTTAAGACGCAGTCCACCTAGTCCATTTCACAGCTCTGGGCTCGAGGACCCGACCCTCTGTTGGAATTCCAGGCTGGGCCCACCATGATGTCGAAGAAAAAGCCGTATGGAGTCATAGACCAACTGAAGCCGCCACAAGGGGACCCAGATTGGCACTGACAAACAGCCACCCAGGCCACTTCCAAAGCCGCTGAAAGGTGTCTCAGGCTGGACCAGACCAGACCAGACCACCCATGCTGCTGTGAAGACGCTGCAGAAGCCTCAAGGAAACCCAGGCCATTGGAATCCTGGACCCAGACCCATCTTGTCTTCTGCCGCTGCTGAAGCAGCCGAGTAGAAGGATCCACCAGGATGCAGCTACAAGGAATGGCCAGATCCACATCGTACTTTCTGCTGCAGCAGCCTCTCGGAACCTCTTTGCTCACCCGAAGCCGCCAAAAGACAGTAAACTGAGCTTGACGATGAGTCCGCACTAGGACTGCCTCAACAATGCAGCAGCTGCCAGGATCCTGAACTTGCCTCCGATGTTGCTGCCACGGGTGCACGCTGCTGGGTCCCGTCGCCGATGCTGTGACCGAGCGCTTGATCAAGAGGTAAATAAAACAAAATAAGAGAAAGAAACAAACGAGGGAAGGGAAAAAGAAAAGAAATGAGAAGAAACACAGACGGAGTGGACAAGACCCGGGCTCAGAAGCCCTACTGCGCCACCATCTTACCGCTTTCGTGTTGTTTTAGTGACCCACCAACATGTAGCATCTGGAGGTATTGTGGAGCAGTTTAGGGTGGGATAGTGTATGGGCTGGATATAAAGTCCATCAAAATCGCAACCATATTGCATACTCCAGCTGTACCATTGGGTGTTGAGGATTTGATAGTTTTTGTTTAAGGGATGAAGCCTTCACTCAGTCCACTTGGCTCTTAGTTTAAGTTTCTTGACTAGAAAGTAGCTCCTTTTGTGTGCCTGATCTCCCAAAATCCAGAATAGAAATAACTAATATTCTCAGCCCATCAAGTATGTGAACCTTGAAGTGTGATGATGGCTAGACTAGATTTTTGCTTGGGTTGTCTTCAGAGGAAAAATAGCAAAGACCAGGCTTATATCCACTGTAGTTTAAGAGTAAGAGGTCACTTGATTGAAATATGTATTTATTGATACAAGATCATGAGGTTCTTGACAGGGTTGATGTGGAGAGGTGTTTCTTGGGAGAATCTCATACTAAGGGTCACTGTTTAAAATCCAGGTGTCACCCATTTAAATTAAAAATGAGGGTTCAGATTCTTTGAACTCTTCCTGAAAAGGTGGTAGAAGCAGAGTCCTTGAATATTTTGAAAGCAGAGGTGGACAGATTCTTATTTACCTGGGAGTAGAATGTTATTAGGATAAGTGGAATTGCAGATTTCAGGGTACAGTTAGATTGGCCATGTTCTTATTGAATGGTAAAGCTGGTTTCAGGGGCTGAATGGCCTGCCCTTCCTAATTTGTATGATTGGATGTACCTCAAACTAATTATTTTTCTGTTAATACTCTAGATTTATTGCATGCTGATGACAAAAGGTTATGCCTTCTATTTCATCTCTTGAAATGTATTCGCATGTTCCCATAACTGGCCATTCCATTCTTAGCAATAGCTGTGTATTATCCTGGCAGTAGTATGGAAGAGTGGACTTCACAACAAGTGACTTTAGTCCTAAAGTAGTGCATTGCTTTCTGGTTCCCAGGATAAGAATGCTACTAATTGAGCCAAGCTAATCACCATAGTAGTGAGGCTGATGAAATAGGGCAGGTGACTTGAATCTGACTACTTAAGTAAATATATTTTCTTTTGAGATGATTTGATGTAACTTTTTCTGGTTGAAACTAAGAAACCTATATGCAAGATGTGCCAACCATAAGTGTTGACACTTCCATATAAAATCTCTTTGTTTCAAACGAGCTATGTGCTGCACAGCAACCCAAGCAGTAATTCCAAATAAAGGCTATTTGTGAGGATATTGGCAGAAAGTAACCTGTGTAATCACTCCAGTGTCTCGCCAAAAATCTTGTTGTCACAGTTCAAGTAATTGTTAGGACTAATTGCTTAAAATTTATAGTACCTACTCAAAGGTGCTAACTGCCAAGATTTCTTTCACATTAAAACTTCAGACGTTTGAATACACTAATAGGGGAATGTATAAAAATTTAACCACAGAGCTTAATCCATTTTTGAATGACTACAAAATCTGAGTGCTAACTATAGTTCACTGGCCCATTTGAAATTGCTGACTGACTTCATGATCTTTCAAATCCACAATTAGTAACTATGCAACCAAATAACAAAAACAATTTTGTCAGGAGAAACTAACTATGTTTAGTACATTGCAATGCTTTAAAATGGAAAATAGTTGTGCCCTTAATCAAACTGTTCTAGCACAGTTACAATCCTGGCATCTGCTTGGCAATGTAGAAAATTGCCAAGGTTATGTCCTGTGCACAAAATGCAGGACTAATCTAACGTGACCAATCACTGCCCCATCAGACGACATTTATCAGCAAAATGATGGAGGTTGTCGTCAACAGCACTTTCTCAATAATGACCTGCTTAGTGACACTCCATTTGGATTGTGCCAGGCCCACTCAGCTCCTGCCATAGTTGCCTTGGTTCAAGCATGGTCAAAGAGCTGAAATTGAGGACAAGTGAGGGTGACTGCCTCTATCACGGCAATAATTGACGAAGTATGGCATTAAGGAAGTCTAACAAAACTGGAGTTAATGGGAATTGTGGGGAAAAGTGTTTGCTTGTTGAAGTCATCTTTGACACTAAAGAAGATGGTTATGGTTGCTGGAGCTCTATTATCTCAGCCCAGGCTATTCCAACACAGGTTCCTTGAGGTAGTGTCCTGGGTCCAGTCATCTTCAACTGCTTCATCAATGGCCTTCTGTCGATCATAAGCTGAGAAGTGGGAATGTTCACTGCTGCTTGCACAATATTTAGCACCTTTGCAACTTCTCAGATACTGGAGCAATCTGTGTTTAAACGCAATAATACCTGGACAACAGCTTGGGCTGATAAGTGGCAAAAAACATGGTGCAACACCATTGGCAGGTGATGACCATCTGCAACAAATCAGATTCCAACCATTGCCCCTTGACATTCAATGACATTGCCTTTGCCTTGACCAGAGACCAACTTGAACCATCTACATAAATACCGTGGCTTCAAAAGCAGTTCAGAGGCTGTGAATTCTGTGGCAAGTAACTTGCTCCCTGACTCTTCAAAGTCTATCTACCATCAATAAGGGGTGTGATGGACTACTCCCAATTTGCCCTTCGTTGCTGAGACCATTGATTATAGGAGTTGGGATATCATGTTGAGGTTGTAAGTGGCTGACAATAGATAGAGTGTAATGGCAGACTGTGATAACAAGGCCTGGTGTGTGGGGAGGGGGTGCCAGGGCATGGGAGAGTTCAGGCCCTAAATTTGTTGATTTCGATTATTGAGTCCAGAGGGCTGTGGGGTCCCTAAGCGGAAAATGAGGTGTTGTTCTTCCAGCAAGCTTGAGACAGAGATTATGGCCAGAGAACAGGGTAGTGTGTTAAAGTGGCAGGCACCTGGAAGCTGGGGGTCTTTTTTGCGGGCAGTCACCCAGTCTACACTTCGTTTCTTTAGTGCAGAGGAGACCACGTGGTGAGCAGCGAATGTAGTAGTCTAGATTTGTGCACTGCAGGTAAAGTGCTGCTTTATGTTGCTGTATGTTTGGGCCCTTGGATACTGAGGAGGGAGGAGGTAAACCTTTCCCTTCAACCGCAGGAAGTGCTACACCTGCCCCTACATCTCCCCACCCCACCACCCCACCTCACCTCCATTCAAGGCACCATACAAACCTTCCATATTAAACAGAGGTTCACTTGCACATCTGTCAACGTGGTCTGTTACATGCTCCCGATGTGGCTTCCTCTACATCGGTGAGACCAAGCGGAGGCTTGGAGACCGCTTTGTAGAGCACCTGTGCTCTGTTCGTGACAAAAAACACCACCTTCCGGTCGCAAACTGTTTCTAATTCAACTCCCTCTCCTACTCCCTGGGTGACATGTCCATCCTGGGCCTTCTCCAGTATCACAATGGCGCCACCTGGAAACTGGAGGAGCAGCACCTCATTGCGCCTTGAGAGCCTTCAGCCCAATGGCCTAAATGTGGTTTTTACTAGTTTCAAAATCTCCCCACCGCCCGGCCTCATCCCATGACCAACCTTCCCTCTCATCCCCGCCTCCTTGACCTGACAACCTGTCCATCTTCTCTCCCACCTATCTACTCCTCCCACCTCACTGACCAATCCTCACCACTCCCTACCTGCACCCATCTGTCACCATCCCACCTAGCTTCCCCAGCCCCACCCCTCTCTTCTATTTATTTCTGAGCTCCCTCCCCCCACAACCCCATTTCTGAAGAAGGGTCCCAACCTGAAACGTCAGCTTTCTTGCTTCTCTGATGCTGCCTGGCCTGCTGTGTTCCTCCAGCACTGCACTGTGTTATCTCTGATTCCAGCATCTGCAGTTCTTATTGTCTCTGGGCAGGTGTTATGCCTTTGGCAGGTGCAGGGGAAGGTGCTGTGGGGATGTGGGGAGGGAATGTTTGGAGTGAAGGAAGAGTAGACCAGCATGTCCCGGAAGGAAGTGTCCCTGCGGAAGGCGCACAAAGGAGGGGAGGGGAGGGGAATATGTGTCTGGTGGTGGCATCTCGCTGGAGGACGCAGAAATGACGGCTGATGATCTTCTGGAATGTGATGCTGATGGGATGGTTGGTAACGACAGGGGGGGAGTCCTATTGCTGTTGTGGGAGGGGAGAGAGAGGGGGTGAGGGCGGAGATGCATGAGATGGGTCACACCTGGTTGAGGGCCCTGTCAACAATGCACTTGTAAATATATTGATATTCCTTCAGTGTTATCACTTCAAAATCCTGGGACTCCTGCCTAAGAGGACTGTGGCTAACCTACACCATGTGACTGTAGTGCTTCCCACCAGTATGGGTCACAACCCTAATTGGTGTTGTCAGCTGTAATTTTGGGCTCATGGTTTCTGAGACACCAGTTGTTTCTGTGAAACTCCGACCAACACTTGTGCTCCCTCTCTAACAGGGCACTTAGTGTCACAGCTTTCCCCAGCTGAAATCCATGCTCTCAGTTCTCATGACAGGTTGCGACAATTTTCAAGCCGCAAAATCGAGTCACAGAAGGAACAAGATAGTTGAGCAGTGGCACATATTTGTGCATTCCATTCAGTTCTGTTCAGTGCTGTTCTGGAAGGCAGGTCCTTGTCTGAGTATCTAATTGATGCTTCACCCGGAGCTGTTTCTCTTGGCTGTTTTTTTTTGTCATTGCCTTCCACTTGCATGGACAGGGCCACGGTAGGTAGGTCCCCAAGCTACCTTAACTGGAACCGGAATTGCACCTGCACCGTTGGCATTATTCTGACCTGCATGCTAGCTGACCCCCCATATTTATACACGCATGTGTGTAATTAACAATTGTAAATGTTTTCTAATCAGCTTGTTCAGTCAAGGTATAACACCTCTGGAACAGGTGGGACTTGAACGTGAGGCTCCTACCTCAGAGATAGGGACACTGCCACTGTCCTACAAGTGCCCTTCATTAACAATTATAAGATGAATTTGGAAGTTCAAGGGTGATGGGCTCAGCATTTGGAGAGTTAATTCCCAAAGGAAAAAATCTACATAGTTCATTGGAGCTGCTGGACATTTAATGTAGTTTTCAGTATTATGAGGCTAGATGGGATCCTAAAGCAGGTTTATATTTTACTTTGGCATCAGTTTCATTTGAAAATAAGTGCAAGACTTAAGTAAGAAGCATTTAAATATTGCAGATAACACGCTGATTTAATGAGGTGATTAACTGCGAATGTTTCTGTTAATTCAAGTACATCTCCAAACTGATTTATATCAACTCTATTCACTTATGGTAACTAATTTTTGCTGCAAATTCATGTTACAAGTTCCTTTTTCATTAACTATCCATTTTACTAGCTTTATAGGTACATGTTCTATTGTCACCTGTAAAAAGGTCATCTGTACCAAAAATCCACAAAATAATAAAAACTAAAGAGCAGTTTAAGCATTATCCCTGTAATGTCTAAGAAATTTTGCAACACAAGACTTACTAATTGTCTAGTTTGAAATCCTGATAAACAATGAAATTGGTTCTTTGCTATATTTGACTTAAAGAAAATGATCATTATTATCTTACAGCTAAGGTTCACTTTAAAGAAGTGTGGACAGTGTGCATGAATTCACCCAAATAAAAATGTTTGACTAATGCTGCTTAGCAATATCAAGACCTTAAAAGTTATAATTTCTGCATTTCTACAATCTTTTTAGATGGGAAAACCTCAGAGCAGTACCCAGAAATTTTGGAGAAAATTGAAGATTGTTGAGGGACAGAATAGCCATGAGAAAGCTATGAATGCACAGAAGACAAATGTTCCACACCCCTCTCAAATTCCAAACCTCGTGGATAATGTCCTTGAAAGGTGTAATTCCTTCCAAGAAAATAAAGAAATGCCATTAAGGAAAATATCATCTGATTCTGCAGAGGTCCCCACAGAGGAGCCTGCCCAAGGATATGACAAATCATGGACTCCAAGTAACAACTTGAAGACAATCAAAGTATCAAAGGAATCAGTTTCAGGTCTATTTGCAGATGGAAATTTTGACATCCTACAGCCTGCAAGTTGCAGCTCTGCCTTTGAGGCTCAGGAACAAATCTCCAGTCTAACTCCAAATTTGCCAGATGAGTTTGCTGAGCATTCTCATTCAAAGCTCGAGCTTGTTTGTGCCAATGAAAATATTGCTTTGTTTTCCTGTAAGATTTGGAAAAAAGACTGTCTGCTCATAGTCCTGTTTATTACTAACCTTAGCAGTGTGGAAGTTCGTAATGCAACAGTCAACTTTGCATTAACTGATGAATTACAGGTAAGTACAGTCTGGCAGTGGTATAGTATTGAACAATTTAAAAAAGTTAACTTGCTAAAATTAAATAAAATTTTGTACTCAGTCTACTTAAGATTATTGGAATTAAATTTTGTCTAAAGTTTTTAAACATTATCAGGGTTTGCGTTGCAGGTTACTTTTAAACAAAACCCTCATTCTAGTTATATAAAATTCTGAAATTAAAAACCAGAGTTGCATCAAAATACGTTTTAGCATTAGCATTAGAGTTTCTCTCCTTTCTATTGGAATCTCTCTTAACTCCCCTGTTATGCTCTTTCTACATGCACATATTATGCCTCAACCTGGAAATCAGACAGTCAGCCATGTGATGTACTATGCAGTAGCTTAATGCTAGAAATCCCTCGACTTTTGATTTGGGCAAATAGTTATTCTTAGGCTTGTGGATAGATGAACAATAATAAAGAGGACAGAAATCTTCAAAGAGATAGAGATAGGTTAAGTAGGTGAGCAAAGATCTAGCAAATGGAGTCTAATGTGGAAAAATGCGCAATTTTCCATTTTGGCAGGAAGAATGAAATTGGAGCATATTATCTAAATGATGAGAGATTGCGGAGTTCTAAGTTGCAGAGGGATCTGGGTGTTCTAGTGCATAAATCATAAAAGGTATGCAGGTAGTTAGGAAAGCCAATGGACATTATTGCGAGGGGAATTGAATTCACAAGTATAGTTGTTATACTTAATTTATTCACAGCATTGGTGAGACCACACCTGAAGTACTGTGCACAGTATTGGCCTCCTTATTTTAAAAAAATGATGTAAATACGTTAGAAGCAGTTCAGAGGATGTTTACCTGTACTAAGAGGGTTTTCTTATGAGAAGATTTGTCAGGCTAGGCTAGTGTCTACTGGAGTTTCGAAAATTGGAGATGACTTGATTGAACCTCCCGAGGGGCATTGACAGGGTGGATGTGGAAAGGATGTTTTCTCTTGTGGGAGGATCTAAAACCGTTAAAAATGTTTTTTAAAAAAATCATTGTTTAAAAATAAGGGAGCACTCATTTAAGACAGAGAGGAGGACATTTTCTCTGAAATGGTTGAAAGCTTTTCTCAGTGGCGGAAGCAGTCTTTGAATATTTTTAAGGCAGAGGTGGATAGATTTTTGATAAACAAGGGAGTGAATGGGGGAGTAGGTTCAAGGGGCCAAGTGGTCTAGTCCTGTGCCTAATTTACATGTTCATATAAGACATTTACTTTGTGGAGGATCTCTTGCGAACCCAGCCTACAGCAGGAACACTGTTACCATTTTACCGGATCATATTTTTATTGATTAAATGGGATGTTGTTGTACATTTGTAATTTTAACCTTCACATCTCTCTTTTTAATTTTTTTTATAATTATGCAGACTTCTGAGAGCATGGACTTCCCTTTTCCAGTGGTGCAATCCCAAACCACAGTCAAATGTCAGCTCTGTCTACAGATGGTGAAACCATGTACCCAGGTGCTACTTACTGGACACCTTACTTATCACCTAGAGTCTAGTCAGCGTACCCAGGAGGAATTTACACTTGCTCTATTTTTAATTGATTTCATCAGGTATGAGACTAATGTGTACCAAAATGATTAGTTATAAACATTGCTTTGAATTTCAGAATGAATTGCTATATTAGAAGTTTGGCTATTACTTTGAATATTGAAAGTCCTTTGCAGTTTTAAATGTTGATGCATTCTGTCGTGCTGTTTGCTGAAAGTGTTTGTGTATTTCTAGTTTTTGAAATGGAATTGAAGAAATTTATTGCAACTTACTTATATAACAGTATTTCAATTGAAACTTCATTTGTCGTTTTTGGCATTTGCACATTTGCTTATCATTAGAGAAAATCAGGAACAAAAGGTCCAAAAGTAACTAGCTGTTAAAGGTCCTGAATAAATTGGGTATTAGTACTCTAATCCCAAGTGTATAAGAGCCTTAGCTCATAACTGTTGTTGAGGGTAATGGCCAAGTATTTGGCCCCAAATATATGTTTCATGTTATTTTCAAGCTCCTATTATCCTCCTCTGGGGAATATGGTTGTGAACTACCATCTTTGGGCCTTTACTTTGCTTGATAGGCAATTAAAATATTTAACATTATTTGAACAGCGCAGTTATGAAAAAGGCATTTACCCAAAAATATTAAGGTGTGATGCCTCTCTGCTGATAGGATACCAGCATTCACAGCTGGTTATTCAGAGGTAATTGATAACGTAGTCTGTTCTGAGTGGAAGGAGAAGGAGCAACTGCCAAAATTCATTGGGGTTGATTGTTGTCTGGGAACAATCCAACTTTTTGTCTTTCTAATCCTGTGAAAGAAAGTGCAGGCTCACCTGTCATCTGTGGGACAGTCTCTGGCCAAGCTTGCTAATAATCAGATTGAAAATGTGGAATATAAAACTGTTGGGGAGGTGTTGGGTATAATGCACTTTAGGTATTTCCTCAAGTGCTGATGCTCTCATTTAAGAAGAATGAATTGAAACTGGCCACACTTAGTTCAGAGATAGCAATGCTGCTGGAGTCAGAGACAACACTGTGGAGCTGGAGGAACACAGCAGGCCAGCTCCACACTCACTTCAGTCATTTTTGCAGGCTGATGAAACCCATACTGGAAGGCAAGAGAATTCAAAAGCCGTTGAAGTTTTTGACTTGGATCCTGTTTTTTTTTTGCTGAACAGGCTGTCCAGTGCTACAGCTAGAACCTCATCATTTTTGATTAGATCACTGCGATTGAGCTTAAACTATATTCCCTGAAATGCTAAACAAATCATTTTCCTGTTGGTGAGAGGATTGAAAGTAAGTGGGCAAGGATTTAAGGCACTTGGCTTAAAAAGCAGTGATGACATGAAGAAAACCCTTTTCATGTAGTAAGTAGTTAGGATCTGAATAATGCTGCCAGTCTGTGCTGGAGGTGCAGGTTCAATCAAGGCACTGAAGGAGGTGGCACTAGGTACATTGTTCCTTTAGAGAGCAGGCACAGACATGTTAGGCCTAATGCTGCCTCCTGTAAATAGCAGTTCTGCGAAATTTTATCTGTTTTAGCATGAGGAGATGCCATCTGGAGTTCAGGGTATGCCCTACAGTGACAGTTAAGAATAACTGAAAGAAGAATTTCCTTAGGCCATGTTCTAACAGCAGCCAATTTCAGATGAAGGTAGCTGACATGTTTGGACCATGATTCCACTTTAAATGGAAACATCTGTATGTAAGGGAATAACGAGAGTAAATTATTTTACATTTGCAAAGCTTCTTTTTCAAGACTTTTGCAGTAAGTGAACTAAAGAATGCTTGTATAAGGTCAAAAGTACCTTTCAAACTCCTATTATTTCACTTATAATTACAGTTAAATAGTTGTATTTCTGAGCTATGATATTGGGTGACTTGAAGAGTATCACTAAGTCATAATGCTCATTTAAAGAGTAGTGCAAACACGATGGGCTGAATGACCTCCTTGTGCACTGTAACAATTCATTGATGTTGTGCAGTTGGGGAGAAAACTTGCCCACTTTACTGAAGTTATAACAGTGAGACGTAGTTTACATCTTTTCTAATAAAAAATGTTAGGAAAAGATTAAGAATATAAGGCAGTATTTACAAGACAATGAACTCCTTTGTGCCTTTTCAAATCATACAACATAGAAAGTGGCCATAGTGCTTTTGCCTGCTCTTTGAAAGAACTAACCAGCTAGTCTCACTTCCCTGTTCTTAGAACTGAAGAGAAATTTCTCTCAACAGTGAGAGAATAAGTGCCACCCATTTACACAGGTAAAGATAAGTTTTAAAAACTGAAAGAACTGCAGATGTTGTAAATCAGGAGCAAAAACAGAAGTTGCTGGAAAAGCTCAGCAGGTCTGGCAGCATCTGTGAAGAAAAAGTCAGCATTAATGTTTCAGGTCCAGTGACCCTTCCTCAGAAGGATAAATTTTTACCTTGTTTGATTCAGAGTTATTGGAGAGCCTGGACAGAGAAAAAAATTGGAAAATGATTACACAGATGTAACAGTGTTTTGTTGTTTCTCAGCACCATCCTGGTACTGAGGTCAGAAAAAAGAAATGGTCTGTCTTCACAAAGCAAACCCTGAGCATCTGCCCAAGTTGGACCTTGCTGGTTTGTTTAGTTCCTGTAACATTTTAATATCAGAAATTGGATAATACCCAATTAATTCTCAGCACAATTGTACTGGCCCTGTCCTGATGAACTTGTGAAGTTAAATGTAACTTTTTGACAAGTACATGGTTAGAATTATTGTTCTCATTTGATAAGCTCTCTAACCTAGTTCTCTTGTCTATCTGCTTCCAGGCCATTAAAACTGACCACTGAAGAATTTGGGCACCTTTGGCTTTCACTTTCCAATGATGTGAAACAAAATCTTAGCTTTACATCAGATTCACCTGAAGCTCTACCTTCAGCTCTTGGCACACTGCAGAAAGAACTGAAGCTACATATTGTGGATATTATAGGTAACATTTATTTATTATGCAGCTTCCTGAGCTGAAATTATATATTAACAGAATCAGTACTTGTGTAGGCCAGACTTGAAAATATTTCCTGTTACACTATGGTCATTTTACTTTGCACTTCCATTGAATTTTCCCTCTCAGCTTTGCTGACTTCATGCTGGAGAATCTTGCTATGTGTGATGGTTGGCCTGACATCTTATGTTAAATGGTGACTGTTCATTTGTGAACCTTGACTGTGAATGTCAGCTATCTAGGTGACTGCAGTGGGCTTCATGGAGAAGTCTGATCCATGTATCATTCAACACCAACGTGTATTCATTCATCACTAATCAGAAGAGCCATCTATATGCAGACAGCAGGTTTTAAACGATGTCCCAAAGTATGGAGTCCTAGGAGGAGTTTCCCTTGGAAACTTTAAATTTGGAATAATTGCTCATATGATTAACTTTACAGCTACCTTTAATTTGTGAAGGAATTGGGAGATTGGCTATGACAGTCTTGTGACAGGCAGTACCTCTGTCAGTTGGCTAACAATGGGTACATATCATAATTCAAAAAGTTTAATATCTTATGTTTATTTATACAAGACATTGTTAAATTTGAAGAAAACAGTTTGAACACTTTAAACATGTGCTAGAAGAATAAACGAATAATGTTTTGCCCTTTACTCTCTTTCCTGATCTCCATTTTCTCCGTTTTCTCCTCTTCCGTACCTCCCTTCTCAACCCATTGATTTAAAAAAAACTGAATAGAAAATAGTAGAAAAACACATTAAAAGTTTTCCAATAGATCTTCCTGCTGGTGTGTGTATATATACCTACCACTGGCTCGTTGCTGTGTTTTGGACTGACCTTGTGGTTGGCATTGATGCAATAACCTAATTCCAAAGATATTGTCACTTACACAGAGATAGCAGATGAAGAAGGGTCCCGACCCGAAACGTCAACTTTTCTGCTCCTCTGCTGCCTGGCCTCCTGTGTTCTTCCAGCTCCACATTGTGTTGTCTCATCAATTACACACTTGGCCAGTAGATGTCAGCAGCAAACTGTTAAGAGACAGCAGTTCAGAATTCCAACTTATGAAAGTGACTATGTAAGAGACTGGAGTAAAACCAGTCTGGGGAAGGAAATAGAGTAAAGTGTTTTTGTGTTATATAGAAATCTTCAAATTCTCAATTTTTGGATGAATTTCTCCTGTTTTATTATGCTTGCATGAAGCATGAAATGGCAAGGTATCTTGTTGAGGTGGTGGGATTTTGTCTGCTGGCAAGGAACCTACGCTACATTATCTATCAAACCAAATGCCAAATCGGCAGTCGTGAGGTTAGGATCAAGACCCCAGGGTCAAAGGTCTTGCCTTCGAAGAGTTTTCACATAATCAAGAGGGTCTGCAGAGCTACAGGTGATTGTTTCTACAGCTGGACAAATAGGCACTGGAATGCTGGTGGGAGGGGGCACAGCAATTCTGGTCACTGGGACTGATAGGGTAGGAGTTTGGCAGCATGCAGTAACAAAGGCAGAGAGGTTGGTTCTCAGCTGCTCCCATCCCATCCTGATTTATAGCTCCTTGAGCAGGCAGACCACCTCTCCACCACGATCACCAGCCTAGAGACTGCACAGTTTTAGCTTTTGTGTAGAGGCAGCTCCACCTGCAGCCGGGTTACTCCCGACAGTGCTGAGATGAGGTCCTTGATTAGCAGTGGGATGGGAAGGTCAGCCTTGGTTCTTCCCACTCCTACATGATTCTGGCAGAGATGGGAAGGCAGTGGGGTCAGGTAAGACACCTCGCCATCCAATTAAATGCCTTTTGCACGTCCACAAGCCCCAATAGTGAGAACAGAAGATTTAGAAAATGGGGAGAGGAGCTTTGTTATATGTTAGCTGGCTGCCTTTTTGAGAGTTCTAATCCTTCACCTGATTAACATTTCTAAAGTCACTGACTAAACAACACAAAATCCCATCCAATTATCATTAATAACTTGTTAACTCAATTTGTATCAGGATTCTCAATTTGACATTCTTCATTTATTATCCTGCAAGTACTTTTTTGTAAAAGAGCTTCTGCTAATGACTATGAGAATTTTATATTTACCATAATTTTACTTCGTTATGTACTTACCAAAATTTTGCCTAACTTAATTAGGAATTTGGACTCATTAAGTTGGTTTTAGCAAACTGACACTTAACTGATTTAAATTTGCTTACTATGCCTTCTATTTCAGTGGAGGCATTAATCCATTTCAAGCACTTAAACATTCTCAATAATCGAAGGTGGAGGTGGGTTTGATCTTTTTTTGGTTTAGCTATGTATACCTAAGGTTATAAATATTGACTTAACCTCCAGAAATTAGTGGTTATGTTTGGAGATCTCTCTCATTTCAAAATGTCTTTTTGTGCTGCATTACACAGTCACCAGCCAGAAGCGTTAGTGCCAAGGCCCATTTTGTTGAAAAATAATTTCTCTCCTCTTAACAGATTGTCACACTTTAATTCTCTCTTCAACCCTCCTCCACTTTTGCCATTTATCTTTTGTTTTAGATTTTGTTCCAGTTGTGCGAAAAGTCCTGCATTTTTCCTTTTCCTTCTGTCTTCCTTTTTTCTGCTTCCACTCTCTTCACCTTTTATACCTTGTTTTTCTTGTTTCACATCTTATTTCAGTGTTTTCCAAACATTTTCCCATTGTGACTCAATTTTGGTGCTTGCTGGTTGCTGTGACCCCAAACCCTTGCGAGGGGGTTTTCCAGAGGTGGGGGACTGCAATTACGAACGTTGGGGAGGGCGTGAGTCTTCTCTATTGGGTTTGCAGCATCTAGGTCTCAGCATTTGGTTGGTTTAGGTTGCATCCACCTTCAAAACAAACTCCAATGATGTAGAGAAGCCATGCAGCTTTTAGAACTCATTCGCTAACTCGCTTTGCTGTGTCAGAGTTCGTGGCCCCAAAACGTCAGTTCACAACCCCTCTGGAGGTTCTGACCTTCAGTTTGGGAACCTCTGTAATTTTCTTTACATTCCACACAATCTCTGTTGGAAACAATTTAGAAAAAGTTGAGGAAGCAACTTGAGTAAGAGAAAATAAGTAGTACTGAACACTGGTCTTTATTACCCTGTCTGCTTTATTGAGAATGGCTCCTGTTTTGATTTGGGTGCCCTTTTATACTGCCATATTTGAATCAGTTTTGAATAGGGATATTTGGTGAAAGCATCATGGTCAGTAGACCATAACAGAACTAAGCATTTAAGAAACTTAGTATCATCAGAGACTGCATGAATGTTTGATAACAAAACTCTGTTCAAACAGTACAGTCAAAAACCCAGCCTCTCCTCACCTGATGTCTTTGTGTGAATATTTCTTAGCTGGTTTTCTTTGTTTTTGCAATTCTGGGGAGCCCAGGCCACTTTAGACATCTGACCATTGTCCCACCTAACAGCCAACCTGAACTCTGACCAGGAATTGAACCTGGAGGCCTTTCTGCTGTGCATGGCTCAACTCTTGGCAACAGTGAACAGTGGAGAAGACTAATCCACTACTTTTATACAGTGTGACCTTTTTGATGGGAATTTTTTAACAGGCATTTAGGATGAATGTATCATAGCCAAATATTGACCATAAATAAAGTTAATTATCACCACTCCAGCAGTCCAGGGGAATTTGTAAACTGCAAGAACGTGTGCAACTTGAAACCATCTTCACTACTTTGTTTTATTTCAATGGCTATTAACTGTTCATCCTTCTCAGTAGCACAGTTCTGAGTGTCTAATTTAACATCGCTATCAGAGTTTAAAATATGCTCTTTATTTATTTAGGTTTGAGTCGGGGATGGGGGGCAGAAATGATACTGAATTAACCGCCTGTGACCATTTCATGGAAAGAATGCCACTTGGCTTCAGCTCATGAGTGTTGTGGACAGTCAGGTGTGAATGAGCATGTTCTCCCTCTTTCCTGGAATGCTGTGGCAACTTGCTCCACACTGAGCATGCTTTTATGTGCTGACCTCAACTGGAAGGCATTGGAGTTGTCTTGGTTCAGAAACTGGTGGATGGGACTATTCTCCCAGTACACAAACCGCAGTTTGCATTTGGTATTGCAGTACTAGCTATAAAATGTATGTTTGCGAAAGTAAGCATTACCACACACGTATTTTCACTTGCTAGGTATGGAGCGTTTGTCCAAACTAACTTTTTCTTCCTTCTGCAGGAACAGAAGGGATAATAGCATGTCAACTGCTACCATCGACGTCCTGTTTACTTCACTGTCGATTTCATGGTGGGATTTTATCAGTGTGGCTGCGATCACCTTGCAGTGTCCTTCCAGACTGTATGTTATATGAATGCCAAAAGGTGATGCAAAAAGTTCAACTTTAGCAAAAACTCGAGCCAAAACTAGACTAGCTTGTGTAAGCTTCATTGTGGTTTGCAGAGGTTACTGTGTAGATTGGACTCAAATGGCTGAAGTGTTTGGTGCAAGATTTCTTGTTGAGGATCGGTGAAGATTGGTTGTTCTAGAACAGTGATACAAGAAAGTGGTTAACAATTGTAAGTGACATTTAACTGGGGAGTGAGATTTTGCAATAATTAAAACTTTACCAACCCAGCACCTACTTGACCAATTTTTGTAGTGTCTGTGATAGACTTGTTTTCCTGGTGATTTTCTTTGAGAGATGTTCAAATATTTCACTTTGATATCATTTCCAAAGTATTTTTTTAGAATGGAAGTTTCAGTTGAGACCTTGGCTATTGTCAAGATGCAGCAATGAAATTCCGAGTGTGCACTGCTGGAAATGAGAAGAAATTAGATCAAACATGTTTCATTCGTATTTGAAATGTTGTACATGTTGGGATTGATGAAATAATTGCACAGTTTCCTACATTTTTGTTAAATGCCAGGAGCCTTGGGATGCTGTAATATATTTACAGTTTACAAGTAAGCTTAAAAGTTCTCATCTTTAAAATTTCACCAAAGTGCACACCAATTTATTCTGCCTGTGGTACAACTTGAAATATTGGTAATCTATTCAAATACCTGAAGTATTTTGTACATATATTTTGTTGTCTTTTTCTAAGCACCGAAATGATCAAACCTGTATTCTTTGTATTGAGCATTAATATTGGATCTCATTTGCTGTAGTTAGAACTGAAATACTGGAGCAGTGAAACAATGTACCTGTACCAAGCAGCGATTTACCACTCAAGCATTTTAGTTTAAACACTCAAATTCATTACAAGAGCTCTACTGGTTTGTTGCACTATAATTAAGTGAGTTTGCTTCTTATTTTTGCACTGTGGACAAGATAAAAGTAAAAATCGGGGAAGACTTTTCATGGTGAAACAGGTCAGCTCTGCATGTAATTTACTAATGTTTATTGAAGACTAACCCAAAGCCTTATGTTTGTATAATATAATAATCCAAGTTGAGTTGTCCTTATGGTACAACCTCCCTATTTAATAATGGATATGTATATTATATATATAAAAATACCATATTGTAGGTGTTTTATTATGGTTTTCTTAAGCACCTGTAATTTAATAAACATACAATGCCAAAAAAGCTTTTAGCCATATTATGACTTCATTTTATCCTATTTCTCAGTACACAGCCGTTTTCCATATCATCTTACTATGAATCATACTTTACAACCTGCAGTTGCATTAGTTCAAACTCATCACTGATGCTGACCAGCCAGAGTTGATAGTAGACATCAACTGTGACATAGACTGGTTTCTTAGTGATACTTAATTTGACGTGAAATATTTACTGTTTCTTTTACCATTCTCTTTACTCCCTCTTCAAAGGCATAATGCGCACACATGAACTATGTACATTACTTAAAGAAAAAAAACCTTTTAACTTGATCTGCACTACCTTTAAGATAAATATTTTTATTTTAAATACTAAGTGAAGATCTTAAAGAGCTTTAAATGAAGACAAGTACCAGCAAAACAAAAGGTTCATTGGCTATTTATCTCATCGTTATTTGATATTTTATTGGTGCAACGTAGTTACATTTAATGGTACAGAACTCTGGTCTCCAAATAACTGAAGAAGTTTGAGGGTCAATTTGATGTGTTTGAGAGATTTTGTAAATTCAAGTCTTACTTATTTTACACAATCAACCTCAGCTGTTGGGACTGATGGTTGGTTCCATTTTTTTTGCTATCTAGCTGTCAGCTTCATAACATACAGCTAATGAAATGAGTGGTGTAGGTGTAATCCGATTGACACAAAATACTCCAAGGCAGATTATCATTGTCTTTGGCAATGTGGCGTGTCAACATTGTGGGATTATGATTAATCCATAGGCACTGTAATTTTCCATAATCAAATAACTCCTTGGACAGAATAAAGATGGGTCTCAGAATTTCATGTAAGAATGAATCTTGGGTGTGGGGCTTCAGTGTCTAACACAGAATAGGTCAGGAGCACCGCTACGAACCAGGTCTGGAAAGCATATGAGAAACTGAGACTGTAGTAAGTGGTGAAAAAACTGAGAGGAGGAGGGAAAAAAAGAAACCCACTCGACCCAGTCGTCGTCAATCTGCCTATTTGCAGTTTTGGTAGGAGTGACCGCCACATAGTCATTATGGAGACGCAGTTCCATGTTCACTTTGAGGATATGCTGTACTATATTGTGTGGCAGTGCCATCATGTTAAGTGAGAGAGATTCAGAACAAATCTAGCAGCTCAGAGCCAGGCAACCATGAGGATCTTTAGGACAGCAGCAGAATTATTTTCAATCGCAATCTATCTATGACACCGCATATCCTGCACTCCTCCATCAATATCAGATTGGGGAATAAACTCTGGCTCAATGAAGACTGGAAGAGGCATGCCTAAAGAATGAGGCATCAACCTAGTGAAGCTACAACACAGGGTAACCTGCATGCCCAAAGCAGAAGCAGCACGCAATAAACAGGGCTAAGTAATCCCACAACCCAACTGATCAGATCAAAGATCTACAGTCCTGCCGCATCCAGTCGTGAGTGGTGGTAAACAATTGACAGTTCACTGGAGGAGGACGCTGCACAAGCATCCCTATTCTAAATGATGAGGTAGCCCAGCATATCTGTGTGGAAAGACAATGTTGAAACACATGTAACCACGTTCAACTACAAGCGGATGATTCATTATGGCCTTCTCCTGAGGTCCACAGCAGATGCCAGCTGATTCAATTCACACTCAGAAACATCTGAGGATATTTAGATTACCAGAAGGTCTTTTAAGTGCACGAAAGGAGGCTGCTGAATAAGAGCCCATGGTGTAAGGGGCAAGGGAATGGCCTGGATAGAGGATTGGCTGACTGGCAGAGAGTGGGGATAAAGGGGATGTTTTTCAGGATGGCAGCCAGTGACTTGTGGAGTTCCATAATAGTCAGTGTTGGGACCACAATATTCACATTATAGATTAACGATTTGAACAAAGGAACTGAGGGCTTTGTTGCTACGTTTGCATATGAGATGAAGGTAGGTGGAAGGAGGTACAGTTGAGGAAATGGGGAGGCTGCAGAATGAGAATTGGTAAAGAAGTGGCAGATGGAATACAATGTGGGAAATGTGAGGTTATGCACATTGGAACAAAGAATAGAGGTGTAGACTATTTTCTAAGCAGAGAACCGGTAAAGGCTTTGGAAATCCGAAGCACAAAGTCCTAGTTCAGGATTCTCTTAACGTTCGTTTGGCAGTGAGGAAGGGAAATGCAATGTCAGCATTCATTGCAAGAGGACTAGAACACCAGAGTAGGGATGTGCTGCTGAAGCTGTTTTAAGTATCTGGTCAGACCGCATTTGGAATACAGTGAGCAGTTTTGGGCCTTGTCTCTAAGGAAGGATGTGTTGGCTTTGGAGCGGTTCCAGAAGAGGTTTGCAAGAATGATCTTAGGAATGAAGATGTTATCATATGAGGAGGTTGGGGACTCCGAGTCTGTACTGAGAATTTAGGAGGGTGGGGGATTGCATTGAAACTTCCAGAATACTGAGAGGCCTGGATAGAGTGGATGTGGAGATAAGTTTCCACTGGCAGGAGAGACTCTGACCCAGAGGTGCAGCATCAGAGTGAGGGGATGACCCATTAGAACTGAGCTGAGGATGAATTTCTTCAGCCAGAGGGTGGTGAATCTTTGGAACTCATTGCTACAGAAGTCTGTGGAGGCCAAGTTATTGAAAATTGTCTTTAAGACAGAGAAAGATCGGATCTTGATTAGTGAGGAGATCAAAAGTTATGCGAAAAAGGCAGGAAAATTGGATTGAGAAACATATCAGCCATGATTGAATGGCAGAGCAGACTCGAAGGGCAAGATGGCCTAATTCTGATCCTATATCTCATGGTCTAAGACAATGGATGCTACAAAGACTTTTTGACCTTACAGAATTCTGGTCATAGTACTGAAGACTTCTGATCCAGCACTGTCCTGCCACTATCTGTGATTTTTCTGGTAGAGCTACAGCATTGACACATCCCTGATATTGTAGAAACTGTGCCAGTTATTTCTTGTCCACAAAAAGCAGGACAAATCCAAACCAACCAATTACTACTAAATTGGTCTACTCTCAATAATCGCAATGTGATAGAAGGGATCAACGACAATACTATTAAGTGAAACTTACTCTAAAATAACCTGCTCATTGGCCATGGCAGAATGGAAAATTAACACTTGATTCCTGACCTCATTACAACCTTGGTCCAAACATGGATGTGAGAGCTAATCTCAAAATGAGGCAAGAGTGACTGTCCTCGAAATGAAGGCAGTAGTTGACAGTGCAGCATCAAAGAATCCTAGTAAAATTGAAATTAATGGGAAATGGGAAGAAACTTTTCACTAGAAGTCATATCCAGCACAGTAGAAGATAGCTACTAGTGTTGGAGCCCAATCAAATCAGATCCTGGACATTTGCAGGAGTTCCTCAGAATTGCATCCTTTCTGTTCACACCTTAAGTGTTCATTCCCTCTTCACTCACCAGAGCAATGTATATGTATTGAAGTGAGCTAGTAGAGCATTTGGTGGCTCAGGGAAAATAAAAATAATAAAAGTATAAACTCTGGCAAAACTAACAGTATTTAACTTGAGCCTACCCCCCACCCCCCCCCCCCCCCGGCCCTGTTTATTACTGAGCATTAACTTGCATATGAATGTAGTTGTTCACACGGGGCAGCTATTCAGGTAAGTGGACTAGTTTAGTTTTGGGACGCTTGGTTGGCATGGCTGAGTTGGATCGAAGGGACTGGAAACATGTTCTCATCAACATTGTGACCCTGCAATATGATGTGTTTATTTCTATTCAGACAATAAATTGCTCTTGAGCTAGCTTTTTTGAATTAATATCTGTAGCTTGAATACAGCAATGAGGTCAACTGAACGTATACAATTGTTTCAATTTGTGTCTTTTTGAGTAAAACTTAAAAGTGAGGTATTGTTTGTTCTGTCAGATGGACATTAAAGATCTCAGATGTTTTTCAAAGAGAGAGAACACTGCTGGTTATGCTTAGCACAAAGGGAGATGGTTGTGATGTTGGGCATCTGTCTTCCTGGCGCACAGGAAATTACTGCAGGAGTTCCTCAGGATAGTGTCCTAGGCCCAACCATCTTCGGCTGCTTCAACAATGACCTTCCCTCCACCGTAAGGTTAGAGTTAGGAATGTTTGCAGATGATTGGTTAATGTTCAACACCATTTGTGACTCCTCCGATACTAAAGCAGACCATGTCCAAATGCAGCAAATCCTGGACAACATCTAGGCTTGGCCTGGTAAGTGGCAGGCAATTTTGTCTGACACACGTGTGGTCTAAATGACCATTTTGAACAAGAGAGAGTCTAACCATCGCCCCTTGACACTCAATGGCTTCACCATCACTGAATCCGCTACTATCAACATTCTGGGATTTACCAACTCTTTAGATGTGTAATCACGTAACAAAACAGACAGTTGTTTAAAAGTACAGTACATTTAATATACATATTTAAAATGCATGGAAAACTTATAGTACATGACTAATAGTTCATACAAAGTCTGTGCATTACTAGAGCCAAATATACCAAATGTGATTGAAATATGGTTTCAAAAATAGGTTGCAGATTGACCATTTGAGACGATTTTACATTCACATTGTAGCCTATCAACACAGTACAGTTATGTGCAATAGAAAAATTGAACAAAAACTAAAGGGACATAGCTAAAATAAAAATTTAGCAAGTACGTACAATAATGTTGAACATATCCGAATATCAAAAGCGTAGAAAGAGTCAGCAGTCGTGAGGCAAATTCAACTTGAACTTTTGAATCAGCTGCTAGTGTTCTGGTTGGTGACAAAATGTACTTCCTCTAGCTATTGATTCACAGTGAAAGATAGTTACTTTGAAAAAAAAAGAACTTGTATTTGTATAGGCCTTTCACATCAGGAGGTTCTAAAGTGCTTAGCAGCCAAAGAACAGTTTCGAAGTGCAGTCATGTTTGTTATGTAGGCAAATGCAGCAACTGACTTGGACAGCTAGGATACACAAACAATAATGAGCTAATGATCAGTTGGTCTGATTTTGGAGGATGTTTTAGAGAAACACTGACAGAAACAATTTCTTTATCAAAAGTGCAATGGGATCTCTCACTATAATAGGTATATGAAGCTTCAGCTTAATATCTATAATACACTCTTCTGGAATGGGAATAGGCCACTCAACTCCAGAAGCCTGCTTTGCCATTCTAATAGCTTGTGGGTAATGTATAGTTATGCCTTTTGTTCCAAATCTTTATACTCCTATTCAATCTGTTTTAAATTTAATTTGACCCAGCATTTATAGCCTTTTACAAGAGAGAGAATTCCAGTTTTTTGATTGGCAGAATGAGATTCCTAAATGGTCAAACTCTATATTTTTACAGTTGTATCCCCTTGTACTGGATGCCCTTGTTAGAGGAAATAACTTCTCTGTATCCACACTATCTAATCCCTTTACCATTTTAAGCACCTCACTTAGTTCACCATCAAACTTCTAAATTCAAAGGAATCCAAATCAAATTAATGTAACCTAAGTATTGGTTAAAAGTCTAAAATTTCACCTTGCACTGTTGGATTATTTGAATTTAATCAGTTAGCTGGGACAGTGAATAATTCCTGTTGTGGCTATAACTTAGAAATGATTTGCAATTGAAGACTAAAAGATAATATACCCAATGGCATTGATGTGTACCATGATTACAAGTCTTTGTCACAACTTGAGATCAATGCACCAAAGAAGAGGTAATGTTATAATCATTACCTGGATCCTCTTAGTCTGATTCCTAATGTTTTTTTTAATTTCTATGTTCCATCCCCTCTTTCTGACTGCAGCAGTTCCACACCCTTCAGGTAACCGAGCTTTACGTAACCCAAAAACAGATCAGCTTCAACTTTTCTCCCAGACTTCCTAACTGTCGAGGCATTCTGCATTGTAGAACTTGAATCTTCACTGATGTTCTGCCAAAAAAAAACACTCAGATTATAATGATTAATGGCTAATGCTTTCACTTTTTTTGCCAGCAAGGTAATACTGCATTTGGCAAGTGTGTCATACTGGTGGAAAGCACTTGCTGATGTGCGTGACACCACATTTCAAATGGATCGTCATAATCCACAGTTGACTACTGGCAAATAAATATACAACGGAATGTCATTGTGGCATCACCTCTCATCCTCTGTCCTTTTTGTCTGTGGGTGAACCTAATCGCCAATGGCAAGGCCCCCTTCAGATCTCCCTTTGAAATCAGGAGCCTGGATTGTGAATCCTGCCCAGCGTGCGCTTTGTGCTCAGCAGTGCCAATGAGGAGGCTATCCCTTAGGTTCCCAGGATTGTAGAGTACACAGGCCACAAATAATACAAGGCAGAGAGGGGACAGTGGGTGATGTCAGGGGAGTCAGAACAAGGAGGGACTGGTTTCTATTGGGTCCCTTGACTGAGTCTTTGAATGAGGGCCCACTTGCTTATCCCCGACAGACTGCAAGCATTCTGCACAGTCTCATCTGTGGTGCATTCTGCATGATGATTGGCTGCTTACAACCAGATTAATTCTAGCGGAAATGGAGTGACACCCTTAAGACATCATTAATTGGCTGCTTATGGGCTTCAATTTGGCAGGGAAGGCAGGTCAAGTCTAGGCTTTCCTGCTTAGAGCTTAATTCTGATGGGGAGGGGTGATGGGGTATCGTGTTGAGGTTGAGGGCTCTTGTGGAGCAGTGGTAATGTCCATGTCTCTGGGCCAGGTGATCTGGGTTCAAGTCCCACCTGTTCGAGATGTGAGTCATAACATCCCTGAACAGGTTGATTTGAAAATGTAAAAAAGACGGAGGGGTTCATGTATATCATCACCCTGCCTATATAAATGCCATTCCTTCCTCCAAACTCACCACTAGCAGAACATAATATTCTGCCCCATAGAATGGAACCTCAATTTTGAACAGAGTTCAGGCGGGTACAATTGAAGCTCTTCTGATTGAAGATCACTGACCTGTACAGATGTGACCAGACATGTTGAATATCTCTGGCACTTTGTTCATATTTATGATTTCCAGCATTTTGCATTTGCCAAGAATTTTCTCTCCAATGTGAGGCTGTTGACCTGAAATGTTTTGTTTCTTGTTCTAGAAATGCTGCCTGACCTGTTAATGTGGTTTCTGTTTTAGTTTCTTTATTTTTCATAACAACTTGCAACCAGTTTGGTGAAATCCCAACCCAATTCTTAGTTCAGGAGGTTGGAGCTCAGTAGACAAAAATGTGGTTGCAATTATAGACGGGTGTTTGAAGAGGTCTAAAAGGCACATTGATGCTGTACAGGATCTTTTGAGGTTAGGTTTGTTAGGCAGTGATTTTTTTTTAACCTGACGAGTGAAATTTTATGATTAAGACTAGCAGAAGAATGCTGCACCATCTGACATTCACTTCATCTGGACAAGAGCAAATCTAAAATATCAATCACAAAATAATCTTTAAAAATCCAATTTTTTTGCCTCAGATGGAGGAAAAAGATCCTTGGCAAATGACTATCAGAAGTGATAGGTTTTGTTTTGAAGGAATTAGTAACTAAACTGCTGCTAACTTGTTCATGCCAACATACAGTGGATTGGTAAAAGTAAAGCGCCACAGTCCCAGAGGGCTGCTTTCTCATTAGAGAGGTGATTGGGGTTTAAGCTGAGGGTCACCACACCTCAGGGCAGGGGTGAGATTGAGAAGGCAGGACCTTCACAGTAACCTCAATCAGTAAGGGAATTGAACCCATGCTGTTGACATCACTCTGTATTGCAAAGCTGCCATCCAGCAACATTCCTTCTGACTTTTATGCTGGCTATACAGACATCCGAAGCTTGAGAGTGACAGCGCCTCGAGGAACTGGAGATCAATGCTGTGATCAGTATGCTGGCACCGATTATCGTGCGTGGAACATTGGTGAGTAGCCAACTGAGCTATCCAACCACCTTTGGATGGAACAACTCTTACAGCATATTCCGTTTGTCAATTTACAGCTGGGCTAATTCTCTGCTTGAAAATGAAGGATATGTTTTGTTAATATAAAGTAATTTTTAAAAAAGGCTAGCTTTATAAAGAACACAGCTTTTACTTGATTTAATTTTGGCATGATGCACTGGATTGCCTTTAGTTAATGGGATATACCAGTCTGGAAATTGAGCTAACTGAACATAGTGCAGCTGTGTTGGTGATACATTTATCACAGATCATTAGCAAGTTGAAAAATCTTTGCACTGAGAGATCTGCTTTCCCATTTCAGTCAACACATTCAGGCATTACACAGTTAAGTGTACAACATGCAAATGCAGAGTAGAGTTACTTCTGTCAGGCCATGAGAATCTATACTCCCCACTAAATTAATATAACATTGCTCTCATTTTCCAGACCTGATATCTTGTGGTTTCTGAGTGATTGTCAATCAGGGCCATTCGGTGCTGAGGGTCTGTACCTACTGGGAGCTAGTTTGAAAATGCTCATTTATTCCACACAGGACTCTCACAGTTAACAGACAAAGGTGGCTTTCATTGCGTCAGTCCACAGTGGATTCCAACTGTGAACCTAAAGGCAATAAGCCAGTGTTTAAGACACTGCACCACCTTGTTTCTTTGCTTTTTCTCTTTCTGGCCTTTCTTTCAAGTTTATGTGAGACTGCCAGTGAACAAAATTCTGTGTGAGGTCAATGATAAATCAATTTGTGAAAATGTTCCATACAACAGTGTTGCAATTGTAAAAAGGAAGTAACGAGGATTGATGCTGATATCAAAGTTAAGTGCTTTAACTGGGATTTGCCTACCACTTGGTTGATTTGAAGACTGTATGGTTAAATCATTATGATAGCTGCAGACGCTGTTTACCTCCTTGGTAATGTGTTTTAATGTCAGTAGATTCTTTACATTCTGCTCCTGAAAATCCCACAGCAGCTTTTGCCCCATGTTGCCAGTTTTGTGTAATGGATGTGCATATAAACACAGAAACTAACATGCCTACCTCTGATTGAGCTGAGGTGGATACCCCCCACTCTCCTGTGCTTTGGTTAGCCCTACAAAATACTTAATGATTACTGTTCTAAGTGTCAGTTCTGAAGAAAGGTCATTGGACTTGAAATATTAACTCTGTTTCTCTCTGCACATGTTGCCAGACTTGTTGAGTTTCTCCAGCAATTTCAGTTTTTGTTTCCCTATTCCTAGCTTTCCTGCCTTTTTATTCCAGCATGTGGCCCAGAATGTGGCAGAGAAACATGGAGCAGCACTTTTGGTGAAGTTCATTAATGACACAAGGTGAGTTATAAACAGCCCCCAAGCCTGTTTACAAAATATTAATGGCTTCAGTGAATTATTAGTTACATTAGTTGAAAATTGCCAATAATACAGATTCATTACTTTCTCATAAATGTTTTTCAAACAGACCAGCGAAAGGTCGGCTGTTTGAGAACTAAGTAAACCTACAGATATTGATGCCCCTCCTTGTCCTTCACTGTATTTATTTCAGTAGTGATTTTAGTAACCAAGGAAACAGGCTCATTGTATATATTCCAAAGCGTTTAAGAATAATCCAAATACAGGGCAGATAGAGAACAAAAGACTAAACGTTTGAAGAAGATAACCTTAAAACTGAGTTTACATTATAATTATTTGAAAATTAAGATAAAATTGCAGATTGTTTGACTTTTATAGGACCAAAGACTGTCATTTAAAGTGACAGTTTGCTAAGTTCTTAGCATTGGTTTTATTTTGAAATTATTTAGAAACTTAACTGACATTTCACAAGAATCTTTAAGGCTTTCTGTCAAAAATAAGCATTTAAAGCAGGAAGACCATTCTGCTCTTGTTTACTTGATCAAAAAGCCCCTCTTCAGAAACTGCAACTTTATGTTGGTGACAGCATCTCCAACTGGTTGGTTTAAGTGAGTGCATCTGCTTGTTTGTGACCTTTCACATTTTTATCTTAAGGTGCTTTTGTATTCTATTCAAAATCCCTGGATCTAGTTCATGGAGAGTGATAATGTGTGCATTTCACTATGACTCTTACCCTTGGATTTAGAATATAGTGTCCCTGGATTTGCTGTCTTTCAATTTTCCACAGAAACAAATAAAGTACATAGAAAACAAGTTATCCACATCTTTTGAGCTACTAAAACTTGGCTCGGTATTCAGAGAGCAGAATTTTTTTGTCTATCTAAGATGCTGAAGGAAAAGGGAGCCATACTTGTTTCTATTATGGAATTTGACAGTTGTGGCTGCAGTGATTGTAACAAGGTCAGCCAGGTGGACCTCATAAAATGAGTTCCCTGATTGGACCAAATTAACAGCCCCAATCAGGGAGCCCTGGCTGCCAGATAAGAACAGGAGTGTCAGACATCTTGTTCATTCCGAGAGCTAACTCTGGGGGAGCTGGATCAGTGTGAACAACTCTTGATGTGTAAATAATTTGGTGGAATACTGGCCTCTGTGGAGTTATTTCAGTGGCGACAAGAGAAAAGCACCCTGCTAAAGAAACTCACTAGCAGCAGTTGTCTTTGAGTTGGGGAAAGTATTCCTGGCATCATGCCGTTATTTAGGAAGCTTGACTCGTTCGAACCTGCTGTCAAAGAGTGGGCCCAGCATTTGAAAAGATTCCATTATCTTTTCCGGGCAAATGACATTGGTGCAGATGAAAAACAATGAGTAATTCTCCTGACAGCTTGTGAGCCCGTAGCTTTTTCAGTTATTAGGAGCCTAAGTTTCCCTGAGGCACCAAATATTAAAACCTTTCAAGAGTTGATGGATTTACTTGAGGAGTATTATGACCCCAAGCCTCCTCTAATTCTGAGACACTCTGTTTTACTTAGCAAATCGAGAACCAGGGGAATCTGTATCGGGATTTTTGACTACGTTAAGATGATTGGCAGACATGTGACTTTGTTTTAACCCTTAATGAGAGACCGTTTGGTATGTGGATTAATGATGTAACTATGGTAAAGCGCCTACTACCTGACACCCAACCGGACTTCAAACAGGCGCTACATCTGGCTTATCATTGGAAAACACAACAAGTGGAGCATGAGAGTTGCAGGGTATGCCGATGGAAGTGGACACCATCACCTGTCTGACTGAGCTTGGGGTACACCACTTGAGTGAAGGCAATTGCATAGCCCCACTGAGGATATACCCTGAACAGAGGGACTCCAGGTCAGCCCTCACAAAGTCCCAAAACAAAACCAAGCCTCAGCCCAATGATGATAAACATTTTCTTCAGGATCTGGGCTGGCAAGCCATTGTAGTTGCTGTCAGTATGCAGACTTGAGACAGGAAGAGTCCCACCAGACCTAAATTGAGTAAGAGAGCTCATAGGCTGGTGTCCAGGAGAGTGCACACCCTGGAAAGTTCACCTACATCTGGTTTGGAACAGTTACATTACTTAGCAACATCCACATCAGAACCAATCAAAATAAACCTCAGGTTAATTGGTAGTTCTAATGGAAGTTGATAAGGCACAGCCGTTTCAGTGATCGCAGAACCGGTCTTTAAGATAATTCACTCTGGACTCCAACTTTTAAAATTGTGCAAGACCTTAGCTAGACTGACAACCTTCACCGGGGAACCTTTACAGATTAAGGGTGCAACTTCAGTTCCGGTCTCTCATGAGAAGCAGCTGGTTCAGTTACCACTGATTTAAGTAAAAGGCTCAGGCCCAAGCTTAATGGGGGCAAAATTGGTTGAGAAAGATTCACCTAGATTGGTTCAGCACTTTTCCATTAGAAAATGGCTGTCTGAGTGAAGACCTAATTAAATACCCAGATGTTTTTCAGGAAGGTCTAGGAACTATCGAAGAAGTCAAAGTCCCTTGCATGTTGACCAGGAAGCAAATCCACAATTCTTGCCCAGTGCCATTTGCAATAAGGTCCAAATTAGAGACAGAAATCAGAAGGCTGGAAAGTGAAAGAATCCTCAAACCAGTCTATTTTGCAGAATGGGAAGCACCAGTCGTACAGATTGTGAAGCCTGATGGTTGGTTCGCCTTTGTGAGGATTTTAAACAAATGGTAAACCATTTTTCACAGCTGTATGAGGATTTATACACAAAGCTGGCAGGGGAATTGACCTTCTCGAAGTTGGACATAAGTCATGCATACTTGCATGGTTAGATAAGGATTCCCAGAAGTAAGGGTGATCAAAGATGCCCCGCCTCCCATTGTCTGTACCGGTGCTTCGGTCTTTCCTTGGGCTGGTGAACTATTACGGAAAGTTCATACATAACCTGGCCTCCATCCTGGCAGCTTCTCATCAACCCTTAGAAAAGGGTCAGCGTTGGAAATGGTCATACAGCCAAGCCAAACCTTTCAGGGAGTGAAGAAACAGCTATCACCTTCTAAGGTGGTGGCACAGTATGATCCCAAGCGAGATCTGCTGTTGACGTGTGAAGCCTTGCTGTACAGCATATCGGGGCAGTATTAGCTAATCGATGGTCCATTGGAGAGGAACGCGCAAAACCATATGCATCCAGGCCTTTGGCCAATGCAGAGTATAAATACACCCAGATAGAGAAGGAAGGTTTGGCGGTCATATTTGGAGTCAAGAAGTTACACCAATACCTTTACGGATGTAAATTTGTAAAAATAAGGGACCACATGCTAGGTCTACTTAAACAGGACAAGGCAGTGCTGCCTGTGGCTTTAGGTTGAATTTGGCAGTGGGCTCCAAAACTAAGTGTGTATAATTACCAGTTGGAACACTAAGTAGCGGATGCATTGAGCTGCCTCCCACTGGCAGATATACCCCGAGGGGTACTGCCACTGGAACAGTCTATAGTAGTTTTAAACTTTCTGAATACATTTCTAGTCACAGCTGATAATATCAGACTTTGGGTGTAGAAAGAACTGGTCCTGGCAAAAATTGAAACAGGGGAAACCGAAAGGCTGTCACAACCAGAATTGAAACCTTTAGGGGCCTGGCAAGACCAGATCACAGTACATTACTATAGGGAGCGAGAGTGATTGTCCCAAGCAAAGGTCACTGCCAGATACTGGCTGAACTCCATCAGGGTCATCCAGGGGTTTCCAAACTGAAGGTGTTGGTCAGCCAGGCTTGGAGGCCGACAAAGCCGCATTGGTGGCACAGTGCACGGAATGCCAATATGGATAAAAATTACCACCAGCAGATTCCCCACACTTGTAGGAATGGCTGGGTAAACCCTGGGCTCAGTTACATGCTGACTATGCAGGTCCTTTCATGAGCTTAATGTTCTTAGTCATTGTGGGTGCCCACTCAATGTGGCTACAAGTGCATAGACTTCATTCGTCAAACACGGGGACAAGGATAGAAATTTACCCGCATCTTTTGCAATACATGGATCCACAGAAATGTTGATCGTAGATAACGGGCCATCATCTTCCAGCAGAGAATCTGAGTATTTCCTATATAAGGACAGCTTCATACCATCTATCATCCAATGGTCTGGCAAAAAGAGCAGACCAAACTTTGAAGGCAGGTTTAATGAAACAGCCTACAGCTTCACTCGATACCAAACTGCCCTGGTTCCTATTTGATTATAGGACCACACCTCATGCAACTACAGGGATAGCTCCAGCAGAGTTGCTAATGGGGAGAAGACTCGCACCAGGTTAAATCTGATCTTCCTGGACCCGGAGGTGAGGGGAGGGTGAAATGATATTAGGAACACTAATGTTGAACACTCGACTCTGCTAAGTGAGAGAGAGAGAGTTTACTTCAGGGGATGAAGTTTGGTGTGGGAGCCACAGGAATGGCCCTGCATGGGTAAGAGGTATGGTCAACATGAGGTCAGGTCCAGTGACGTATAAAGTTCATGTGGGTATGATGGTCCTGAACAAGCCTGTGGGTCATATAAAAGCTGCAAATTCATAAATGGTGCAGGAGCAAAATGTGCCTGTCTCCTTAATAGCTTTTCCAACTGTTCCCGTGGGTTCTCCCTCAAGCGTCGAAGCTACCTCGGAATCTGATATTGACATGATAGATGCCACCACCTCAAAGCCTTTGCTGCCTGAGGAGGAGAGTGAATTTTTCTGAGATGCTCCGGGCACAAGAGGCGAGCTTCTGTGTGTGTTACACACCACCCATATCAAAAGCAGAGCTGGAGAAATCTGACCCAGTGCTTAAACACCCCAAGAGGAGCTACAAAAATAAACTGGCCCACGTCTTTGAACTCGGGAAGTTGCAGCGGGGGGAATGTAGTGATTGTAATGCAGTCAGCCAGGTGGACCTCAGAAAATGAGTTCCCTGATTGTGACTGTTAACCTGATTCAATTTGGGAGCCCTGGCTGCCAGCTAATTATAGAAGTGTCAGACATCCTGTTCACTCTGAGAACGGGCTGTGAGGGAACTGGATCAGTGTGAAGGACTCTCTATGTATAAGTGAAGGGTGACTTGGTGACGGGATACTGGCCTCTCTGGAGTTATTTCAATGACAGACCATCTACCAGCTGCATTCTTAGTGTGGGAAACATGGCTGTACTTCATTGGGCCTGGAGGATTATGTTGTTACTTAAATGAAAACAAGTAGTTAACAGGAAATGGTGTGGCTCCTTATTTTGTGAAAAGATGACTTGACTCTTCCTATGACATTTGCAAGATGTGGTGGTATTATTCTTGTTCTGGGTTTTAAGTATTGCAACAGTGTAGAGATAAGGAGAAACTTCTTCAGACAGAGAGTGGTGAATCTATGGAATTCACTGCTACAGAAGGCTGTGGAGGGCAGGCCATTGAGTATCTTTAAGACGAGATAGATATGTTCTTGATTGTCAAGGGGATCAAGGGTTTCAGGGAGAATGGGGTTGAGGAACTTATCAGGCATGATTGAATGGCGGAGCAGACTCGATGGGGTGAATAGCCTAATTTCTGTTCCTATGTCTTGTCGTCTATCTGCCTTTGAATTAGAAAACAGTCTGTATTTTTTTCTCCCTCTCCACTAAGCGTTGAATATACTTTGGAATCTGAGATGGTCACTGGACTGACTTGTGAGTCTGCGTTGTTTTTTAATTTAGGAGGGTTGTAAGAACATCCTACCAAACAGTGGTGGAAGCACAATCTGTAGTAGCTTTTGAAAGGCATTTGCATAAATAAGTGACAAGAGGAAATGGACAGCAAGAATGACACTATGGGGGGGATTCTTTTCAAGATCTGGCACAGCCACTGGGCTGAGTGGCTTTCTGCTTAAACAACGAATATGTTTGACCGAAGCTATTGTTGCATTTTCAGCAACATTGGAGCAACATTTTATGGGTTGTTTAGCTGAAACTACTGAATTGTTATAATTTTTCTGAACATAATAGCTCATTGTTACTTGGATTGAGGTGTTGGAAAATACTTTTAACATCTGAAGATAACAGTATTATAAACATCCCAACCTGTGCCAGTGAAAATGTAATTTAAATTTTTACAAAAAGCTCTTTAACATGCATTGTCACAGCAGATAATTTACTCTTCCTCCATAGCAACAAAATTGGTTCACAATCTGGTTTGTTTTCAAATGCATACACTTACAGTATAACAATCATAGACAAAAGGAATCTCTGTGGCACTCAAATACAAACAATGGGAATAGACCATCAAACCCTGCAATGATGGTACATGGGTCCCTTGAAGACAAGTGGATGGTGGGAATTCAAATGTTTTCTTTTTGTTTAGGCAGTAAAGTTCAGATGATGCCTTCATCCAGCAGTTTGTTGATGCCCTCGCAGATTTTCTGCAGATACTCTTTGTAAACTCCAACGGGATTGTACAACTCAGACAAAAACTCCACATCTGCAAAGAGTCTGAAAACGTGATCAATGCGTCCATGGGATTTGGGAGTGAGGTGTCGCTCGATCAGAATGTGCAGCAAATCCTTGCATTCAGTCAGCAGTTCTGCCAGAACATTTCTATCGAAGGTAAACTCAACCTCATAGAAACTGACTGCTGTCATAGCTGCCTGATTTAACTTCTTCTTGAATTTATCCACTACCTCCACTTCGTCTTGGTTGAACTGGTTATTTCTGTAGAGGATTCCGATTTTTAGAGCAATCTTGATCAAATCCTTCAAGACTTTGTGAGCCTCTTTCTTGTCACTGGTGTAATCTCTGGTTACTTTGTACAGCTCATCAAGGATCTCACTACTTGTGTCGTCAATGAGCATATTGGCCACTGCCTTGGTAGCCATTTTGCTCAAGATCTTTTTCTGAGCTTGCAGGGCCAAGCTTTTGGAGTTAAAGGATTCTGTTACTGCTGTGAAAATAAAGGGGGAGAAAATTACTGTGATCACAAAGCATTTTCATACAGTACAGTTGCACAGTAGCCTCCAACACAGAAACAAGCTATTCTGGGTTCCACTGCTCTCTACTGGCATTCATCTTCACACAAGTTGGTTCCAGCATGACTGACTCTTGTGCCATAATGTAAAGGGTGCTTTAACTGGGAAAGGAGGGGAGTGTGTTGGTGGAGACTGGGAGCATTGCTGGTGAGGCTAACCATAAAAGCTGGGCTGGAAGGGATTTTGTAGTATAGCAGTAGTTTTCCTGCCTCTGGACCAGGAAACTGGATTCAATTCCCATCTGCTCCAGAGGTGTGTGACAATAAGGTCTGTAATGTGAAGACATTTAAGAGCTGGGAGTTTTGGGGGAGGGAGTGGGGAGGGGAAGACTTTAACACCCACTGGTGACCTCACCCACACAACACATTCACAAAAACACAAATAGATTAACTCTCCCCAGAGATTGTCCTCAAAATAACTCCAGGGAAAGTAAAAATAAGGGATAATACCTTGAAATATAGGTCTGCTGTTTAAACAAAAACAGAAATTGCTGGAGAAATTCAGATCTGGAAGCCTCTGCAGAGAGAAATCAGCATTAACATTACAAGTCTAGTGACCCTTCTTCAGAATGGGTGGAGAAAGAGTCCAGAGCAAGAGAGGGAAAAAAAGAAAAGGGCAGGCAGATAAAGGGATTGTTGATAGTAAGCCTGGGAAGCAGAGAAGCAAGATGGATGATAGTGGGGGATATGAGTTGTTGAAAATAAGTGTCAGCATAAATACCGCCTTTTTCAAGCTCCTTCTGGAATTGAACCATTAACACTGATTCCTCCCTCTCTGCAGATGCTGCCCAAACCCCTGCTGAGTTTCTCCAGCAATTTCTGTTTGCTTCAGATTTCCAGCTGTTTGTTTGCCCTGGGTCCTTCCTACATCTTTTCAGTATACCTTATTCCTTTCTCCCAATTGTGGTTATCCTGCATCCCTTAACCTCAACATACCTTGTGCTGGGCAAGTTGTACATTCTAACTATTCTTTCATAGAATGCCTACAGTGTGGGAGCAGGCCATTCAGCCCATCAAGTCCAAGAGCATCACACCCAGACTCCTCTCCCCACACTATCCCTGCATTTCCCATGGCCAATCCACCTAACCCGCATATCTTTGGACTGTAGGAGGAAACCAGGGCACCCAGAGGAAATCCACACAGACACAGGGAGAATGTGCAAATTCCACACAGAGTTGTCCCAGGGTGGAATTGAACCCAGGTTCCTGGTGCTGTGAGGTAGCAGTGCTAACCACTGAGCCACCTTGCTTGCCCTTCTGATTGAAGCTGTTTCTCCTGAATTCATCATTGGATTATCAGTGATTATCTCCTACTTATGCTTCTTCAATTCTGATGGAAGATCAGAAATCTGAAATAATACCTTTGTTTCACTCCACTCCACATGTGTTTTTCCAGCATCTTTTTATTATTCTCTATTTCAAGATCTTTCTTTGTATGATCTGCCTGTACTGCATGCAAAACAAAACTTTTCACTGTACCTAGATACATGTGACAGTAATAAATCAAATCAAAGCCACCTCATCTTTACTTGAGCCTTCCTGTGTTTAAATTTCTGTTCATAAAACCATTGTTTTGTACTCATGCAGCTGAGGTCTTTAATGGACAAAAGTAAGCCATCCCAGTCTTTTAGCAAACCTTCACTAATTCGGAATATTCACAAGTAATAGAGTGGAATAACTTCATAGGGCAGCAGGTTAATAGACGATGCAATAAGTTTTCTTAAAAGGTCGACTGATTCCTTGTCTGTTAAAAACACCAATAAGCCATTGTGCAAAAATGGTTTGAGAGTGTTTGATAGGAAGGAAGATTTTGAAAGAGATGACCATCTGTAAAGTGGCTTTCAAAGCTCCACCTGGGGGTGGGATGGGGTGAGGTCAACAATGCAAGTTTAAGTTAGGGTGGCTAGTGCCTTTTTAAAAATTCACTCAACACTGATGCTAGATTGAGCATTTAACACACTCCCACTTGTGACATTTGGTGGTCTAGGAGGAAATGATATAATGCATTGTGATCCCAGAGCCAGTCTGCCCCAACAGAATGATATGCCATTACACCATAGACCGGTTGTAGATACTTTTAATCAATGGTCTCCTGGCATGTTATGACATACCTCTGAAGCAGGTGGGATTTGAACCGGTGTCTTCTGGCTCAGAGGTAGGGAGACTTCCAGTTGTACCATCAAGTAATCATTGCGGTCCACTGCTACCGTCAATTGAGTCAGGATGGAGGCGTTGCAAATGTCCTGCAGCACCGTCTTCCAGTACGGTATAAATCAGTTTACAATCTAGGCCAATGTGCTGTTTACTGAGAGGCTGATACCTTGTTCTGCAGATCTAAACTTTGGTCACTAGGAAAGCAGCAATGAATAACTAAGGCAGCAAGTCACATTTTACCAAATAGCGTGCGTCTCCAAAATCTAAGAAGTCACTGATGGCATTTGTATAGTCGATGAACACAAAGTCAGTACCTTGCAATAAGATCAATGTGCAGCAATTCTGTGTAGCACCACCAGCCAATAATAGCTTCCCAGCTGGCTGTCACAGTGCCATCTGTTAGTGCCAATTACATGGACCAGACTCCTTTGTTCTGAAGACAGACTGGAAGTATGGTCTCATAAACACCAAGGCTATGCTTCTGGAGGAATCAGTAAGTGATGTAGCTGATAAGGCTTTCATGAATGAGCAGAAATAAGGTCTGAGATGGAGACTGTGGGAGAAGCCACACTTTGAATTAGACTGTAGTAATGTTTGTGTCTAGTGTCAATAAACAGTTAGAATCACTTTATCATACCTACACCCAGATTACTTGGTGGAGCACAGCAGTTAAGGATGTCCAACCAGTTCAACACCAAAAGGGACAAGTACAAGCTAAGCCTTAAGTTAAGGGCAGATTGGGTCATAGTGCAGGGCTCCACTCTATAGTCAACACCATTCCAAACCAATACTCTTCATCTCTGCTGAATTATTCTCTTTTGGCAGCCATGGACTGAAGCAGAGCACAGATTTTTTTTCTAAAAAGTTCCATGTAGCTATTAAGATCAGTGTGGGACAGAACACTGTTATCCACAAACCACATCAAGTTGTTGATTTGATTTGATTTGATTTATTATTGTCAAATGTATCTAGATACAGTGAAAAGTTTTGTTTTACATGCAGTGCAGGCAGATTATTCCATGCAAAGTGCATTAGGGTAATAGAACAGAGCAAAGAATACAATGTTATGGCTGTAGATAATGTGCACAGACAGCGAGATCAACATTAAATTTGCATTGCAATCTTAGTGCATCATCCTTCATGGCAGCACTGTAGTGTGCAACCATTTGTGCACAAAGATGCCTAACTGATGAGAAGCGGGATGCTGTTGCCCCAAAATCGTGATGAGATGATACAGACTAATAAAGAGGAGGATGTTGTAGCAACAGATATAGCAGGAAGACCAGCTACTCATTCATGCGACCTGCAATCTGTCACTTCCTTCAAATAACTATCCGGGTCATAGTTGGGAATTCAAGTGGCACAAATCATTCATCAATATTATTGTCAGTTTGCCATGTTCGTCCTTTCCCATGTTGTAGCCTTGATCTGCATCATCAAAAACATTTGAGCGAAGTTGCAATGAGCTGCATCAATTTTTGCTGAAAATTTAAGAGGTCCTGACCCAGAGCATTCACTTGATGAAAGGCATGATGTGTGTCTTTCCCATATCATCCCAGGTGTATTTAAATCATGCAGCAACAACAGCATACCTCCAAAACTGCCTTCTCCATCAATAATGCAGAAATGAATCCAGCTGGAAGAAATGTGGTTCCTCAGAGCAGGTCACCAGACCCGAAACGTTAACTCTGTTTTCTCCTTCACAGATGCCAGACCTGCTGAGCTTTTCCAGCAACTTTGTTTTTGTTCCTGATTCACAGCATCCGCAGTTCTTTTGGTTTTTATTTAAAGATGTGTTGTCATTGGATTCTCTAGATTGATGCTGGGAACAGAGAGTCTGTTTTATGATGAGGTTGGTCCTGTTATCATTGGAGTTTGGAAGAATGAAACCTATTAAAACATACAAAAGTCTTCAGGGACTTGACAGTAGATGTGGAAATGTTGTTTCTTTTGTGGGAGAGTTTAGGACCAAAAGGCATTACCTCAGAATAAATGATTGCCCATTTACAACAGAGATGAGAAGAAATTTGTCCTCTCTGAGTGGTGCGGGCTGTAGCGACTGGCTCCTTAAGTATGTTCAAGGCTGAGATAGAAGTTTAATCAGAAAGAGAATCAAGGGTTATGTGAAAAAGGCAGCAAAGTGGAGTTGAGGATTATCAGATCTAATTGAATGGCAGAGCAGACTCAATGGGCTGAATGGCCTGCTTCTGCTCCTATTTCTTATGACCTAAACAGCTCCCAAAAGATCTCAAATTGATCAATGGCCAAACATTTAGAGTCAGCCAAAAATTGTTTCGTTTTCGCATTTGTCCCACCAGGTCCCAGAGCTATAGAGACCTGAATCCTGAAGCAGTGATAGTCTGTCCAGCCTAAAGATGGGCTACACTTTACAAATATCCTTCTGTTCTCATATCTTCCTCATTACCTGTTTCCAGGTAATCCAGGGACCGTATGTAGCTTCAACCTTGGCCAACCTTCCTGCAGGAAGTGCTGTATGATGCTGTAAAGTCAAATAGAGCAAACCAACACCCTACTTTACCGTCCATCAATTGAGAAATTTAGGTTTCTCCACTGCTCATCCAGAAACACATTTCTTATTGCTGATCTATTTTCTGCATTGGGCCACTTGACGTTTTGTTTTTAAAACCTCCTTGTAGAAGTTTTTCTCCTCAGCTTTGAACCCATGAGCAAGTCCCCACTGGTGGGCAGGAACTCTGTTCGCTAAATATGACAGCCACGGAAGTGTTGGCCATCAGGAGCTCAGCAGGGCACAGATTTCGCCCCCCCACCCCTCTGCTGAAATGCCAGCCTCGAGAAAGATCTACAATTTAGGCTGAAATTGAAAATGGCCACATGGATTGGATGCCAAAGCACTACCCACCGCTCCCCACCTCCCCTGTATGAGTCAGTGCCGAATGGAGTGAAGTGATTTAGAAACAAGAAAGTAAATGCTGGTTTGCTATTTCAGGTCCCTGGAGGAGAAACAAGTGCCTCAGAGATCCCGGAGAAAATGGAAATTGGTAATAGCATGTTATAAAGATTGGAACATTTCAATAATCGTAGAGCATCAGAACCAGTTGGAGAGCATCCAGTGCTGAAGGACTGACAGTTGAAGTAAAGGGACCTGTAACTGAATTTCTTTGGCGGGTATAATATAGAGAGGAGCACTGCCAAAAAAAAAGACATCAGCTTACTCTAAGATTTTTTTGCAAGGTCCAGGATGGGACGGCACAGTGGCTCAGTGGTCAGCACTGCTGTCTCACAATGCCAGGGACCTGGATTTGATCTCACCCTCTGGCAACAGTCTGTGTGGAGTTTGCACATTCTCCCCGTGTCTGTGTGAGTTTTCTACAGGTGCTCCGGTTTCCTCCCACAGTCCAAAGGATGTGCAGGCTCGGTGGATTGACCATGCTAAATTGCCCAGTGTGTCCAGGGATCTGCAGGCTAGATGGACTAGCAATTGGAAATGTGGTTTTATGGAAATAGGGTGGGGGACAGGTTTGGATGGGATGCTGTTCACAGGGTTGGTGTGGACGCAATAGGCTGACTGGCCTGCTTCCACACTGTAGGGATTCTATTTTATGATATAAAGGAACCAACTAAAGCATAATTACTAAAGGCAATGCACACTAGCTATCATCCATTTGTGAAAGGCCATTTATAACTTATTAATTGGAATAAACACAAGATTATTTACTTGGGACCTACTGAGACAATCTGACAATGCACTTAGTTAAAACTGTTTAATCCATCTTTGTAATTCATGAGTGAATGAAAAAGCAATGCATTTTTTTAATATTCAAAACAACAATAACGTTCAAAAACAACCATTCAGCATCTAGCTAGCTCCATCACCTTCAGCCAAGGCTGGATAGCGTGGCCTAAACTGAATTTGTACAATTTACAAACTTCCTTAGCAGTCAATACAGCACAGTGTTATGTACATTGATATGAAATAATAAGATTGATGAAGTGAGGCAATTCCATTGTGCTGTTGACATGAAGTTGGATGTGCTGTATTAATGAGCAGAAAGGTCCAGGTCCTACAACATGCATAAGATACTCAGCACCCTGGACAGCAAGTTACTTTCTGGGAGGCTTTGTACAAATGATACACTAATGCTCCAGGAAATGGTTAAATCAAGAAATCATAATATTGACTGGGAAAGTTTGCTCCAGTGGAGTGTGATAGGGAGGGACACACATTTAATAAAGGAAACCCTCTTGATGCTGGAATGTCCTGAACGATTCCTTTGGTTTCTAGCAATTATGTTTAATTGAAATTCTTCTGCAAACAAATGACAGCAATCGTCTGAGAATTAGGGCTAGACCATTCAGGAGAGACGTTAGAAAGCACCTCTACACACAAAAGGTGATAGATGTTTGGAACTCTCTTCCACAAGCTGTATTGGATGCTGGATCAGTTGTTACTTTTAAATCTGAGGTAGATAATTCTTTTGTTAAGCAAAGATATTAAGGGATATCGGCCGGGGCAGGGACCTGGAGTTAGGCCACAGATCGGTCATAATCTCATGAATGGGGGGATCAGTCCTGGGGTGCTGAATGTTCTACTCCTGTTGGTTCCTATATCAATTAAGATTCAGTTTAAGAATGTAAGATACTGTTAGGAAGAACAGTTGAGGGAAAGGTCAGACTGAGGATCAAGAGATGACCTAAATAAGAAATAAATAAGTTACAGGCTAATTGAGAAATAAGGGCAGCATAAACTGAACTATTGAAAAGGTTCAAAGATGTGGAAGAGGCAGCATTGCAAATGAGAAGAACAAGACAGTCACAGCTGATCACCTCTCCCTTTCCCAATATTTAAAGATTCTCAAAAACATGAATATGAACAATAATTAAAGTTAATATGAAATGCCTCATAGGCTTTGTCACTATTATTAGTGTTAGGAGTTAGGCTTTCAGTAGAACTTTATTTTCAATTTGCCAGCTTTATCAAGTTTGCTTCACCTATTTTATTGCTGAAAAGAGAGACGCATTATTAAGGTTTTTCATCTTGCACTCATCGGAACCAATGCAAGAATTCCAAATTTCAAATTTCAAATTCCAAATTTTTACTTGCTGATTAGTTGGCAAGTCAACTCTGATTGGCTGAGGGGTCATGCAACTCGGCAGGGTTGGACACCGCGGTGGCAGACTGACAATACAAGATGTTAAGTCCATTTTCTTTGGGCGCATGCCGACAAAAACTTGGCCCAAAGTACTAGTTCCATTCATTGGAACTTTGTTTGAGGGCGGGAAACCTACTTGTTACAACAGCAGATGGAGCACTACACAATAGGAAAGATAACAGTGAAGAAAGTTGATGCATCAAGGCCACATCCCTGCTGCAATTACACTTCACAAAATTACAGGCAAATATAATTGGCTGTATGAAAGTCTGAACCTTTGTCTGAGTCTATGAAGCCTCAAGATCAAAACAGAATCAGAAAGCACAAAAGGAGGCCATTTGGCCCATTCTTGAAAGTGCTTTCCTCTTAGAACCAACCATCTACCCCTGTATTTTTTTCCCTTAACCTTACAAAACTTTCATCTCAAATGTTTATTCAATTCCTTTTTACAAGTAACTTTTGAAAGTACTTCCACTGTCCATCTGACTGCTTAAAGAAATAGGGCAGTCTAAAACTAGAGGGCATAGGTTTAAGGTGAGAGGGGAAAGATTTAAAAGGGACCTAATTGGCAATTTTTTCACGCAGAGGATGGTGCGTGTATGATATGAGCTGCCAGAGGAGGTGGTGGAGGCTGGTACAATGACAATATTTAAAAGGCACCTGGATGGGTACATAACTAGGAAGGGGTTGGAGGGATATGGGCCAAACGCTGGCAAATCGGACTGGATTAATCTAGGATATCTGGTTGGCATGGATGAATTGGACCAAAGGGTTTGTTTCTATGCTGTATGACTCTATGACTCTATCTTGCTGTTTTGACAGTTAATGATCTTATCTATTACATCTAATTACCAACCATCTTATGCATTAAATCTCTTTAGAGTAATCTCAGTTCCTTAAGTCTCCCACAAGATTTCATCCCTGTAGCAGTCTCCCTTGCATACATTTATAGCTCTGGACATCTTCCTGAAGTGTGGTTCCCAAATTGGACACAATGAAAACCAATCTTTTTTTTAAAGTTTTGCATAACTTCTTTGCTTAAGCATACAAAGTTTAAATCAATAGTGTCTTTAAATTTGACATTTTTCAAAGCCTATTATCAATGTATTTTGGTCTTTTGATTGTAGATTTGTGACTCAACACTCTACACATTACGAACATTCTGATGCAACATGGTAGCAGTGTGTAGCAACTTAGCAAGGCTCCTTTGATTACACCTTTCAAACTCATGACCTCTACCACCTAGAAGGACAAGACACATAGAAACCCCAGCAATGACAGTCTACCCTGACTTGGAACTGTAACACCTTCCCTTCACTGTTGCTGCACTGTCTTTTCCTAACAGCACTCTGGGTGTACCTGTACCGTGGTAATGATTCAACAAGGTAAATCACCACCATCTTCTGAAGGGCATTTAGGAACAGGCAGTAAATTCTGGTCTAGCCAGATGCTCACATCTAAAAATGAATAAACAACAACTAAAGCAATTCAGCCCCAGTGAGTATGAAACATGAGGGCAAATATGAGTTGACATGAATCAGGACCTGTTGGCAATTTGCAGGCTAGAGTCTGATGCCCTAACCTGCCTCCTGGTGGCTGCAGAGGGACATGCAGCTTCTGTTGGATACCCAACAGATCCTACCCTGGTACGAAACTCCAGGGTTAAACATAAAATAATAACTTGGACTACAGAGGCTCGGCAAAGGCACACTGCTGCTGCTGCACTCTGTTCCGTGGATGAAAGCTAGATTCAGGGCAGCAGGATAGGAAAGACCACAGCTGTTACTGTTCAAAGATTAGAAACAATTTACCTTTGGCTAAAGCAGTGCCTGAGAAATCAGATTCATATTTTTAATGTATGAGGGCACTTCTGGAGCTTTCACCTAGTGACAGATCATGGGTTCTGTCATACTATTTTGGGCTTCCAAAGCCATCAAGCCTCCGATTTAATCCATAAATGGCCTCCAGCAGGCTGTCATTTCATTGCTCAATATATAGACTTAAAACAAAAGCGAATTATACTTATGCATTTGGAAAAACCCACTAAGATTATTAAAATAGGTCATGCTAATTCAATGACTAGAACAATGATAATACAATTTCTATTTATTGTCATAATACCAGAAGAGATATTTTTGTCAAACTCATTAGAGATAAAATTGAGCTTGCTTAATGTAACTCCTGTGCCCTTTGTTCAAAAGGTGATGGCTGCAAGTTCCACTGGAGTACGTGAGCGTGAATTTAATGTGACACTCCAGTCCATACTAAAGGCAGGTGCTGTCTTTACTCCTTTATTCATTCACAGGATAAGAGCATCGCTGGCTAGGCAGCATTTACTGCCCATCCCTAAGTGCCAAGAGTCAACCACATTGCTGTGGGTCTGGAGTCACATGTAGGCCAGACCAGGTAAGAATGGCAGTTTCCTTCCCTAAAGGGGCATTAGTGAACCAGATGGGTTTTTCCCCAACAATCAACAATGGATTCATGGTCATCACTAGATTCTTAAATCCGGATATTCATTGAATTCAAATTCTACCATCTGCTGTGTTGGGATTTGAACCCATGTCCCCAGAACATTATTTGGTTCTCTGGACTAACAATCCAGTGATAATACCATTAGGCCATTGCCTCCCCCTAATTTATGTTGGCAAGTATTAAATTGGGAGACCTGACTCCTGGTTGTAGTGAATGTTCTAAATCTTGCAGTCTGATGAAGCAAGGAAAAGACCTCTCCTGCAACCCTGGCCTCACTCCCGAGAAAGCAGATTGGCTGAACATTCATCTTGCCATTGTTTGTGGGATCTTGCTGTGCCACTGACACGCTGTTTACATATCCAGCAGCGACTTCACTTCATGTTCCATCATTGTGCACTCTGCGGTGGGTGTTACTGGGACTTAGGATGTTGGGTTTGGTCAGTGTTGGTGGGAGGTGGGGTCCAATGCAGAAAGGTTGCATTTAGTGACAGAAATCTGGATTGAACAGGCTCTAATTCCTTTCCTTTTAACTGCACTTCATCATGGGGTGAACTCCTAGGCCCCAGTCCCTCCCAATCTATCATCATCATCATCCTAACATCAGCATCATTCTAAAAGTCCTCCAGTTCTCCTTTCCCAGCAGCAAAGGCACTTTACACCTATATGATATGGGTGAACCTGCTGACCAATGGTGGACAAATCTCATGACAGTTTCTTAATGGCTGGATATTCCTCTGTTAACACATGAACCAGAACAATTCACAGTCCTCCTGATGCAGTGGACAAGAGATCTTTACTGAATCAAGTGTCAGAGCCATTTTAGTGAGAGAGTGGAGTGGTGCCTCATCAGTATGAGTCAGCAGGAGGTTTACACCACAAAGAACATAGCACACATAATCATGAAACACATGTTCCTGTCCAGCAAGATTCCACTCTCAGAACACAGCATTGCTGAATTTTCCCTTGAAAGACTCAGTATGTTACTTTCATTTTGGCACTAACATGTTTATTTTAAATGGATTAAGGCCTGTGTATAAACATTGAGACTGTAAGAAATAGGAGCTGGAGTCCTTCATACCTGTTCCACCAGTCAATAAAATCCTGGCTGATCTGATGTGGCCTTAACTTCATTTTTTCCTTCTGTTAATCAAAAACCTGCCCAACTCTGGGATGTTGAACGTATTCAGTGCAGCCTCACTCCTTTTTAATGTTTGGAATTCTCTTCCCTACTGACCCTCTGAGAGAAGAACTTCCTCCTCATCTCGGTCTTAAATGGAAGACCCTTTGAAATTGTGTTGTAGTTTTACATTCCCCCAGGAAGGGAAACATACTTTTGGCATGTAAACATTTCAAACAACTCGAGGTAATATTGTACTTGTGCATTGAGTTCATAGGGTCAACTTCAGTAAGTATAAAGCTTAACTTAAAATCTCGTTTACAATGGAGGAGCTTGTTCAGTTCTATATGTTGACACAGACGGTAGTGTGTGTCTGGAATGGGCTGCCAGAGGTAGCGGCGGAGGCAGTACAATTTTGTCACTTAAGAAGCATTTAGACAGGTACATTGATGGAATAGGTATGGAGGGATATGGACCAAACACAAGCAAGTGGAACTAGTTTAAATTGTGACAACTGGGCAGCATGGGCAAGTTGGGCCGAAGGGCCTGTTGTCATGCTGTAGGGCTCTATGACTGTATGACTCAGTGAAAGATTATGGGCCTGGTTTGAGGGCAGCAACTGGAAAATCACAGATTTTTTTTTGACTTTCAAACACTAACAATTAGGGCAGGTGGTTAATCTGAGGAATGTGCAAAACAGAGGTCACACAAGAAACTTTCCTCTAGCTGCTGTGTGTTTTCATCAAAGCCTTTGGACAAGACTTAAGATTTTACAAGAAATACCAATCAGAGTAAATCTCCAAAGTATATGCAAGATTATCACAAACACTTAAGAGACTACGGGATGTCTTCCTCTCATGTACTGTAAATTATTCTATTTCATACCCATTTGTTTTTTGAATATGCAAGTTAGGCTAATCAGAACAAAATTTCCCAGTAGGTTAAAATCAACCACAAACACAGATGAACCACCAAGGCTGAAAATCTGATATAGAAAGAAACAAACTTCTGGAAATGCACTGGAGAACAGTTGAAATGAAATAAACAAACATTTAAGGTGCAACGTTAGAATTAAGTAGCTCAGTCAGGCTGGACTCTCCAAAACAAAAGTTGTGGATGGTGTGAGAGGGGAAATCTAATTATGAAACTTTGTGATGACAATGAAGGACAGCAGGAGGTATCTTTAAGACTAATATATTGAATGCCTTCTGAAAATGAATAAACCATAGGATTTAATCAATCTTATTATGTGTATGAAATACCATCTATGCAGTTACTATAGCAATCAGAACAGCTTTATTCTTGCAGGCAAATAGAAATACACCTCAAAATCATCTGTTTGTTCCACGTACAACAACAAAAAACATAATTAATGTGTAGAAAAATAATCTTTCTACCAGGCTCATATTACAAGGACTGCCCTTGCATTGCTTGAGCTCCCTTCCCCCATTGGCCCTCAGTGAACTAGCATTTCGATCCCCGGGATAACGCCTCACATGTCAAATTATTTTGCACTGCAGGACTCCACATCTTGCTGAAAGTCATCATTTATTTTCCAGTTGCTGTCAAAAACATCCACACTTGTCCCTGAATGAACTGACAGCAATCTGCGCTGCTTCATACAGTGAGATCAGCTTGTTCCTTGGTGCCTGTGGACAAATTACTGGGCATCAAGGCTATTTTTAAAAGTTATTTCTACCTCAGAAACATTTTCCACTGGAGTCAGAGAATCAGTTTTAATCCTTCCACCATTGGAGGACCTGCCAATGCTTTATAATCCTCTCCACTTCTCTCTCCTCTTTTAAGATGGTCCACAAAAGCCGGCCTTTTTGGCTACATGTTTGGTCACCTGCCCTCCTATGTTGGTAAGTGGCTCTGTGTTAAATTCTGCCTGATAATGTTCCTGAGAAATGTTCTGGAACTTTCTAAGTCCATCGAAAGACACCATGTAAATGCAAGTCATTGTTAATTTTAAATGTGTCATCATGCAAATGTGAAGACTCACAGCTTTCAGACTAACTTGCTGACTGAGTGCAATAGTGTGGGCATGATTATAGCCTCTCTGGAGGTGGCAAGCTGACCCTCAGGGAGATATTTGACCCCCTTCTCACCACTCCAGCAGTGAAGTGCTGGGCAGGGAGGTCCACTGGAGACAGTTCTCAGCCTGGCACCGGGTGAGCCCCTCCGTGACCTGTTCTTTCCTTTGCCCCTTGTTCAGAGATGCTTTTACACTTTGTTTTCACCACCAAGAAATCACCTGCGTTACCAACTCTCTCAGTCATTTCTTCTTCAAATTCGTTTTTTTTTAAATCAACCTGTTCAGACATTTTATGACACCCCTGGGAGCAGCTGGACTTGAACCCAAGCCTCTTGGTTCAGATGTAGGACACTTCCACTGTGCCACAGTAACCCTGTTCCTCAGTGGTCTTTATTATTGAAGCTCTTAGCTCTCCAAAAGCTCACTACTCGGCTCTTTGGAGATTGATCTGAGAGCCTTCTGATTGGTTAGAACGGAGAGCCATTCGCCCCTGAGGATGCCTGTCAAGGGCTGAGCACTGTGCACTACGTGTAGGCCTCAGTCCATTTTATTATGTTTGAGGCACAATATAAGCTTCTCAGCGATAGTAGGAACTGCCGACGTTGGAGTCTGAGATAACAAGGTGTGGAGCTGGAGGAACACAGCAGGCCAGGTAGCATCAGAGGAGCAGGAAAGCTGACGTTTCTGGTCAGAACCCTTCTTCAGAAAATCAGACCCATTCCCCATTTTCTGAAGAAGAGTCCAGACCCGAAACGTCAGCTTTCCTGCACCTCTGATGCTGCCTGGCCTGCTGTGTTTATCCAGCTCCACATTACAATATAGGCTTCTGTTGCTTTTACTGGCATGTAAGGTGCTGAGCACCACCACCCCCCCCCAAAGAAGGTTTCAAATTCAGTATCCAGTTTATATGAAGTTGTTAATTCCATCCAAGTTATCATTAACCTCAGTGTTCTCAGCTTGGAGGAAAGTCTTGTGGTAGCATCTCTACCTCTGAGCAAGGTGATCTGGGTTCAAATCCTACCTGCCCTGTAGGTGTAATCCTGCAAGTCCGTACAGATTATTTAAAACAGCTCCATAGCCCTGGATAGGAGCTCAACGATTAATGAATGGAGAGAGGTTCATTCCCCCAACGACCTGGTTAGCTTGTACTGATATTTCACTCTTCAAATTCTGCTATTGCCTATAATGTCCTACTGCCACCTACACCCCAAGAACTCAGGCTATTTATGCGCCGTTATAGGAGATGGAGGTGAGGATCCTTCTCTGCTGAAATATGCTTGGAAGTATGTATGAGTACCCAGGATTAAACTTTAAGAGTCATAGAATCCCTACAGTGTGGAAACAGGCCATTCGGCCCAACAAGTCCACACTGCCCCTCCAAAGAGCATCCCACCCGGACCCATTCCCCTAACCCTGCATTTCCCATGTCTAACCTAAACATACCTGGACACTGTGGGCAATTTAGCATGGCCAATTCACCTACCCTGCATATCTTTGGACTGTGGGAGAAAACCAGAGCACCCAGAGGGAATCCATACAGACACGAGGAGAATGTGCAATCTCCACACAGACAGTCACCCAAGGGTGGAATCGAATGTGAGTCCCTGGCACTGTGAGGTAGCAGTGCTAACCACTGAGCCACCGTGCCACTCTTACGTAACTGAGAACAGAGGGTCCTCATAATGAGGAGAGATTGAGTACAGTGGACCTTTGTTCTAGAATTTAGAAGGACGAGAGATGAGAGATGACCATAAGGTGTAGGAGCAGAAGTAGGTCATTCTGCCCATCGAGTGTGCTCTACCATTCAATGAGATCATGGTTGAACTGACAATCCTCAAATCCACTTGCCTGCCTTTTTACCATAACCCTGACTGTCTTACTGATTAAAAATCAATCTATCTAAGCCTCGAACAGATGTAACAACACAGCCTCAGCAGCCCTCTGTGGTAAAGAATTCCAGATTCATAAACCCCTGAGAGAAGAAATCGCTCCTCACCTTGCTTTAAATTTGCAATTCCTTATTCTGAGATTATGTCCTGTGATCTTAGAGCATCCCACAAGGAGAAACACATCTTGTATATCTAACTGGTTGAATCCTCTGCATTGACATGTATAGACCTCTGACGGGGCTTGACAGGGTAACTGCTAAGAGGCTGTTTTCCTAGGCTGGACCTTCTAGAACAGGGTCTAGAATCTGAATTCAGATTTCTGAAGAAGGGTCCAGACCCGAAACATCAGCTTTCCAGCTCCTCTGATGCTGCTTGGCCTGCTGTGTATCAGAAGAACAAAGGACTTGCATTCCCGTATAATGGACTTCAGGACCCAGAAGATGCTGGCCTCGGATTGGCCAAGGGCTTCTGGTTGCCAGTGTTGAGGCCTGTGATAGGGTGAATTACTGTCCCTCGTTTGCCTCTCAGCTCTTAATGAGCTGACTGGCTGTGGATCGGAGTGGGGGGAGTGCAGTGTATCAGTCATCACCTGATAATGAAAACAAAGGGGACAATTGCATCTTAAGTGGCAGTGACTCCCCTCCATAGGCTATCAATAATTATAAAATTACACTGATGCAATCAGCTCACAGTTTAGAGTCCAGTAAGTGAGGCAATTTTATAGGATCACAAGCTGTTTAGAGCCAAGGGAGCACATTCAACCCATCTTAAGCTACCTATACAGAACAATCCAGAAGAAGCTAAATGTTTATCATCACAAATGAATAAAAAGAGTACAACGTGATTGGAAGACTAAAGAGTGAGCATGGAGTGTAGCTTAGAATCAACAGTCTGTATGTACCAGTTAAAGTGCCTCTTCCTAACAGTATTGCTATGTGCCAGTTAATGGGAACTTCACTTGAAGGAACAGATTTGCACATCTACTCTTTTAACTTCCCATAAATGACCTTAGGAAAGAAAATCATTTGTTTGTAAAGATTTTGCTGTAAGATGCTACTCATATACATGGTTTATCGATTGGAATTAACCTGTTTTGCTAATCAACCTGTTCAGAGATGTTATTACACACTTCTAGAGCAGGTGAGTCTTGAAGCCAGGTCTCCTGGATTCAGGGATAGGGACCACTACCACTGTGCCAGATGAGGGCCAGTTCAAGTTCTATTATTTTCTAAACAGAAATTTTATGACATCTCTGGATCAAGTGAGACCTGAAACCAGGACTCCTGGCTTTGAGGTAAAGACAATACCTCTGCACCACAAGAAGTGCCTCCATTGGAACTGTGTATTCAGAATTTTTAAAAGTACCAATCTTAACTAAGAAAAGCTCAAAGATGTTTCCAGTTAGAATGTGTGGCTATTAGGCACTCCATTCCCTTTCCTTAAAGGGGTTTGCTTTACTTATAGTAGCATACTTTCTAGGTGGGGGGAGCAAAACTAATTCAGAGGGTATTAGAATCCCTACAGTGTGGAAACAGGCCCTTCAGCCCAACAAGTACACACTGACCCATCCCCCTATAACCCACCTGATCTACACATCCCTGAACACTGGGCAATTTAGCATGGCCAATCCACCTAGCCTGCACATCTTTGGATTGTGGGAGGAAACTGGAGCACCCAGAGGAAACCGGAGCACCCAGAGGAAACCCACACCAACACAGGGAGAATGTGCAAACTCCACACAGACAGTCACCCAAGGCTGGATTTGAGCCTGGGTTCGTGGCACTGTGAGGCAGCAGTGCTAACCGCTGAGCCACCGTTCCAACCAAGCTGATATGTTATTTTGTGACGACTCCTCAGTTTTATTTGGCTGTTTACCAGAAGTGTAGTTCAATGGAACAATAAAATGAATTACATGTTTTTTTATTCAGAAAATCAAAACATTTAAACCTCTCAGTAAGAATGTTCGATAACTAGTTGTACAATCATCTCTAAAAAATACACAGTGGAGTAAAATCAGGAAGCTAGGCCACTGAATAAAGGATGACTGGTAATTATGCTCATTTATATGGTTTATATGACACATTAAGAGCCACAGTTGGTATTTGATGGTTTGTTTAAGCTTGCACTAGAACACTGATCACTAAATTTCCTTTCTTTGAACTACTTTTTTTTTGTTCTGTGATTTTCCACCTACTTGTAATTTGGTTCTCTGCTGAAGTCAATGTCCAGCCTCCTTTTAGCCTTAAGGGTGAAGTAGGCTGGATAGTAAATAATTCTGTCCCTGTAACCAGCAACAGTGGTTCAATGATTTAGAGAAAATGGTGTGTGAGAATATAGATTGATGCCTTTAAGTGGTCCAAAATTATTTGTTAACCAACACAGAAATTGCTGGAGAAACTCAGCAGGTCTGCCAGCATCTGCGAAGAGAGAAATGGTGTTAATGTTTCAAGCTCAATATGACTTCTTTAGGATTACCAGTTATACCAGACTTGAAGCATTAACTCTGTTTCTTTCTCCCAGTATGTGGGTGGTATTCTGTATCACTGATCTTCAGTATACCCACCCCACCCTCTCTTTCCCTACCCTATAGTTGGATACAAATAATCCCAGCACTCATTCAAATATCATCCATCTCAAATAAGCTAACTCAGCACAGATCGGGAATAAAATGGAAATGTTTCCCTGTGTGTAGTTCAGTGACCTTTCCCATAATGGCTAAACCCAACAAGCCAATGCTGAACTGAAGAAAGAAATCATTTGTGTGTCTTCTGTTTCCATGCATCTAGGCAATGACCTGGTTTCTTTTTGTTTCTGACTTCTGTTTTGACATTAAACAGAGAGGAATTAACTTCATCAGACAGATGTGATTTAATGGAATATAGTTTAATTTACCTAACTGAAGAGGCAGCTTGTTTCAGACTACTTATGCCTGCACACTTGGGGCGCGAGGTAAGCAATAGACTGATTTGAAAATAATTTGTTTCAAAAATAGATGCTTGATACACTCGTCCTTGCATCTCGGGCTTAAAACCTTTCATATAATTCACCTGCATTTTTAATCAGTAACTGGATTCTTTGACGTAAAAGAGTTGAGACTCTATTCTGCGTGACTGGAACAGCAATTCGAATAACCTTCAGTCCTCTGACATTGGTACAAGCATTTACATATGAATATATGAATTAGGAGCAGGAGTAGGCACCTCAAGCCGATTCTGCCATTCAAGAAGATTGTGGCTGATCTGATTACTTCACACTCCCATTTACCCCAACAACCTTTCATCCCCTTGCTTATCAAGAATCTATTTATCACTGCCATCAGAGTACCAAGGATTCTGCTTCTACCACATTTTAAGGGACAGAATTCAAAACACTCACAGCCCTCCATTAGAAAATAGTTCTCCTCCTCTGATTTAAAGGGCTGAGCCTTTATTTTTAAACAGTGGCCCCTAATTCTATTTTCTCCCACAAGAGGAAACATCCTTTCCATACTCGCCCTGTCAAAAGCCCCACAGGATCTTTTATATTTCAATCAATTTGCTTTCTAAACTCCTAATGATACAAGCCCAGTTTGTCCAAACTTTCCACATTAAACAATCCACCTATTCCAGCTCCTCTGCAATTTATATAAATGTCTTAAATGAAAGGATCGAAGGTTTGGTTGTGATATTTCCTGATGACACAAAGGTGGCATGAAAGTGAGTTATGAAGAAGTCATCAAGAAACTACAAAGATATATAGATAGATTAAGTGATTGGGAAAAGATCTGATGAATGGAGTATATTGTGGGAAAATGTGACATTGTCCACTTTGGCAAGAAGAATAAAGAGAGCATATTATTTAGATGGTGAGATATTGCAGAACAAAGCCTTCCTGCTCCTCTGCTGCTTGGCCTGCTGTGTTCATCCAGCTCTACACCTTGTTATCTCACCTATTCCAGATATTTGTTTAGAAAGCATTCTCTTGTGTATAAGGAGTCCAGTAGAATGCACTATATCCAAATGTAGCCTCACAAATGCTCTGTATAAATGAAGCAAATTTACCTATTTATATATTCAATTTTGCCTGCAATAAATGAAAAAAATTCTATTAGCTTTTCTAATTACTTGTTGTACCTGCATAGTAACCTTTTGTGGTGCATTCATTAGGACACCTAGATGCCTCTGAACTTCAGAGTTCTGCAACATCTCACCATCTAAATAATATGCTCTCTTCTTTATTCTTCTTGCCAAAATGGGCAATGTCACATTTTCCCACAATATACTCCATTCATCAGATCTTTTCCCAATCACTTAATCTATCTATATATCTTTGTAGTTTCTTGATGACCTCTTCATAACTCACTTTCATGCCATCTTTGTGTCATCAGCAAATATCACAACCAAACCTTCCATCCTTTCATTTAAGACGTTTATATAAATTGCAAAATGTTGAGTGTCCGCGCTGATCCCTTTGGCACATCACTTGGACCATCTTGCCAACCTGAAAATGACCATGTCTGCTCTCTATTTCCTGTTAGCTAAATCAATTTTGTATCAATGCCAATTAAAAGCCAGAACTTTTATTAACATTTGATATGGCACCTTATCAAATCTCTTCAGAAAATCCAAGAACAGTACTTTCAACAATTCCCCTTTAACCAAAGCACAAGTTAATTCTTCTAGGATCACTAATAAATTAGTTCAACATGATTTCCCATCCACAAAACCATGTTGAGACTGCCTGATTACCGTAACCTTTCTTTTAAGTGTGCTGCTACAATATCTTTAATAATAACTTTAATATTTTCCCCACGAGCAATGTTAAGCTAACTGGCCTGTAATTTCTAACTTTCAGTTTCCCTTTTTGAACAAAGGATGTTACATTCAATATTTTCCAATCCAATGGAACACCTCCAAATCTGGGGATTTTTGGAAGTATAAACCACCACATTGACTATCTCACTAGACACTTAAGAACCTAAGAAGAAATGCATCAGGACTTGGGGTCTTGTCAGCCCTCAGCTTCAACAATTTACTCAGTACCACATTTCTAGTAATTGTAATTTTCTGAGTCCCTCCCTCCCTCCCTTCCGTTTTCTGATTTACAGCTATTTTGCAATTGTACTTGTATCCTCTGTAATGAAGAATGATACAAAATACCTGTTCAGTTCATCTATCATCTTCTTACTTTTCACTATTAATTTCCCAGTCTCACATTCTATACGATCAACACTCAAATTGGATCATCAATAAGGATCATCATCACTGAGGCAAATGCTGTAACCAAACTTGTACATTTCCACAAGCAGAAACAAAATATACATGATCTGATAAATGCTAATTTCTTTCGATTGAGGAATTATTATTGATGAGAGACTGAAAGAACTATGTACTCTTTCACAGATGGTGCCACAATGCCTTACATATCTACTGGAGCAAGAATGTGAGGCCTCAGATCAACATCAAATCCAAAAGATGACTGGTATGATTAAAAAGAATAAAAAATCACATTTTTTCTCTAATTTATTTAAGAGTGATTAAATTGGTGCAATTTGATTAATACAGCTGAAAATCACAAAGTATAAGCATTTTAAGTTGTAGTCAAACAGCAGGGAAACAGACCTCTTGATCCAATCAATCTATGTCGACCATGATCCCAAACTAAACTAGTCCCACCTGCCTGCTCCTGGCCCATATCCCTCCAAACTCTTCCTATTCGTGTACTTATCTAAATGTCTTTTAAATGTTGTAACTGTACCCACATCCACCACTTCCTCTGGAAGTTCATTCCACACAAAAGCCACTCTCCGTGTAAAAAAAAAATTGCCCTCATGTCTTTGTAAAATCTTTCTCCTCTCACCTTTAAAATATGCTACCTAGACGTGAAATCCCCCACCCTAGGGAAAAGACACCTGCCATTCACCTTGTCTATACCCCTCATGATTTTATAAACCTCTACAAGGTCACCCTAGATCTCCTATGCTCCAGCAAAAGAAGTCCCAGTCTATCCAGCCTCTCCTTAAACTCAAACCATCCATTCCTGGCAACACCCTGGCAAATCTCTTCAGAACCCTCTCCAGCTTAATAATATCCTTCCTACAATAGGGTGACCAGAACTGGACACAGTACTCCAGACGAGGTCTCACCAACATCCTATACAGCCTCGACATAACATGCCAACTCCTGTACCAAAGGTCTGAGCTATGAGGGCAAGTGTGCTAAATGTCCTTTTAACTACCCTATCTATATGTAATGCAAACTTCAAAAAATTATGTACCTAAACCCCAAGGTCTCTCTGTTCTACAACACTACCCAAGGCCTTACTTTAATTGTATAAATCTTGCCCTTGTTTGTTTTACCAAAATTTATCCAAATTAAACTCCATCTGCCACTCTGTTGACGCAATTGATCAAGATCCTTTGTAATCTTAGATAACGTTCCTCACTACTATGTCACCAATTTTGGTGTCATCCACAAACTTACTAAACATGCTTTCTATATTCTCACCTAAATCATTTATATAAATGACAAACAAAATTGAACCCAGCACCAACTCCTGTGGAACACCGCTGGTCAGTGCTGATCCATCGCCTTTGGATAACTCAATATTCATTGCCTGAAAATCTATTATATTGAGGTACATTAGTTAGTTCCTTAAAAAAAAACTTTTCAAATTATGCCCAGAAAGAATCACTTTAATTTTTCGACTTTCCTCAAAGACCTAGAAAAGAGCTTGAGTAACAGGAACGCCTAACTGAGATTAATTTAATTTGGGGTCATGACTAGTTTTCTGTGAAAGATAAACTTCCAGTGAGATATCTTCCAAACTACCACAAAGGATTGCAGGCATTGTCAGCAAGCCTTCTGAGGGTACTGTGTGTTGGCATGGCAAGGGAAGGAAGGGTGCTAGGCAGGGAGGTATGAGTTGATGTAAGAACTGAAGAAGATCATGGGATGATTAGCAATGTATAGTGGCACAGGGAGTATGAGGGGCTATGGGGATGGGTAGACAGCATGGGGTGGCACGAATGGGGCATGGTGTGTGTGTGTAAATGAGCAGAAGTGATGTTTTATGTTTCCATCTTCATTTTTAATTCTTGATTACAGTGTTGGCTTGCGAGGCAGGCTCTCTCTCCTGGTCACTTCAGAAACCGGCAGCTTCTTATTCTGCCCCAAGTCACCCAAGTTGACTGTCAAATCACACCAGACCTCTCTCCAGACTGAAAGTCAGACATGCTGCCAGCCACTTCTAAAGATTGAGTTGGCAGAGTGGGAATTTCTCTTGCTTCTGTCACCTCACCCAGGACAGAAACTCAGGGCCACGATGCTTCCTGCTTTTCATTATTTGTTCATCAGTTATAAATTAATTAAATAAAATCTTTGTTATTACTGTTTACTCTGAAGTTGAGAGTCATTTATCTGTTGTTCAAACCAAGAACTGACAAATTCAATCTGAAGTTTTGTGGGATATTGGAGTGTCAAACGGTGCTAGAATACCGATACACGGCCAACAGTTGTGGATATCTTAGTGAAAGCAACGTCCCATCTGCCAGCTTAAACATTGACTCATTGCTCCATGGACTACAAGATACAATTAACCAGGACTTCTTTGACTGCACCTTCCAAATCCATAATCTCTACTAGAAACATAAGGGCAGCAGTGTTTTGTTGCTTCTTCGTAGCCTACCATCCTGGCTTGCATGTACATTGATGTTTTGTCATTGTCGCTCAGTCAAAATCCTGCCTCTCAGTATGTGGACTGAAATGGTTCATGAAGATGACCTAACCACCACCTAAGGATGTTAGGAGGCATGTTTGACCAATATTAAAAACAATCTATGCTAAGTAATATGTCCGTATTCATTGTACCTTTGATTAATTTTGGAAGAAAACTATCTATTTGTAATAAGTCAATTATTAATAAAAAAATGAAAGCAAAATACTGCAGATGCTGGAAATCTGAAACAAACACAGGGAATGCTGGAGGAACTCAGCAGGTCTAGCAGCACCTGTGGTGACAGAAACACAGTGAACATTTTGAGTCTAGTTTGACTCTTCTTTAGAATCGAAAGGTGTTGGCAAATAGGTTCTTCACACCAGACTCAGAACATTAACTCAATTTCTATCTTCACAGATGCTGCCAGATGTAGTGAATTAACAGAAAGAGCCATATGCTGATGGAGATTCAAGTGAGTGCAAAACAGAAATTGAGTAGTGTCCATGACTGAGCCTTTGAACAGTGACTAATGCCATGTTTTACTGATCCATTGAGATATTTATATAGTCCTACATTTGTTTTTAGAAATTCCACATCAACCGAACAACTAAACATAATGAAAGCATTTTGTAAATATGGTATCCATTAATTTGTAGTCATCATTAAAAAGGCAGTACCCTTTTTAATTAGAACCCTTTTTAATTAGAACCCTTTTTTGATGGTTTATTTAGTTGATCTTTGTCCAGCAATGCTTTACTTAGCCCAATTAAAAGAGTCACATTATAGAAAATAAGCACTCAGTACACCAACTTTTGCAAGGGTTTCTTAGTGAATATATATTTATCATTGCTGAAGACGATGCTCTGTAAATAAAGATTTTAAGGTAGATTTTTTTTCTGACCTAATTACAAAGGGTTGGTGGTGGTGAAGTCATCAATCAGGAGGAGCCATTTCTCCAGTTTCCACATCCCTGTGAGTAAAAGATTAGCATAAAGCAATTACTGCCAAATCATACTGGGTTAAGTAAGGCAATCTTAAGCACGGTTTTCATCTTTGCTTTGTGCAGATAGTAATGTGTTTTTGAAATATTCTGATGCTACAGAAGCAGCTTCACAATTTTGATTGGTTAAGGGGGACTGCCTCTTTTAGCAGCTCTTTCCAGTCCCTAATTGGAGTCAAAAGTATTAAGTATTGTTCATAGCTCAGTGTGTCCTTGTGTCTTAATAACGTAAGCAGTCAGTGTAACTGGCTTGGGGTAATTTTGACTTTGGCCAAATGAATTGCAGAGATGTTACAAAGTCACTGGATCTTTGACGTCCACCTTATCCAAACATTGCATCAAAAAGATACCACCTTGACTAACATGGCACACTTCAGTGATGTACTGAGATCGTAACATAGATAGTGTTTTCAAGTTCTTGGCTGAGTTTTGAAGGGAAAAATCTCCGACTCTGAGACAAACTTGCTACCACCGAACCAACCTGACACAAGGGAACGACCAGTGAACAAATTATTGGTGGAGAAAAGATCCTGAAAATGTTGCTGCTGCTGTCCGGAGAGCTGCTCTAAGGTATCCAGCTGAGGGTGTCCACAGTTACACAAACTAACCTGATAACATGGACAGATATATAGAAAGACATGTAAGTAGTATATACATCTTGGCAGGCTGCGAGATTGGTGTAGGGTGATACTTGTTTGAGGCTTTAAAGATTAAAACAGAAGCTTTTCAATAATTCAGAGCTGCACAGACATTTTTGACCTGATTTATTATTTCACATGTGCCTGGTACAGTGAAAAGTTTTGTTTTGCGTGCAGTGCAGGCAGGTCATACCGTACAAAATGCATTAGGCTAACAGAACAGAGCTACAGAGAAGGTGCACAAACAGCGATATCAGACTGAGAGGAGACAATATCCATTTAGTTACATCAAGAGACATAACTACGATAATGGATATAAAAGTGGAAACCCGTTAATGTTTCCAGGAGATATTTGCTGTAAATGGGAGCCTGTTTGTATTTCCAAGGGACATGGGCACAGCATGAGCTTGATTGGCCTTCGAATGGAAAGCGATTATCCGAGCTGGGAAACTGATTCAGCCTTTTAATGAGACATCGATACTGTAATTGTCATGTTTACAGTCATGTGCCAAACAGTGAACTGCAAAATGTATAACAATGTAAAGAAATCTTGGTGTGTTGAACAGTCTCCCTCGAACTGCACTCCCACATGCACATGGTAGAATATTTGCTTTGTTTGAGCCCCTAAGAGTCTCCATGTTGAGTGTTGGTTGAAACACTACAGAAGTACATCACATGGTTCCTGTGCCATCCTAACTCGCCCACTGTAGCTGGTCTGCAACTGCTCTGTGATATCCATCATCCAATTACACATAGCTTGACCTCTTTTACATCTGCCCCTCACTTTGTCTTCTGGAAGAGATCTCTGTAGCTCTTGGGTATTGATCAAATAGCCAAAAAACTGACATTTTCTTTACTGGACGTCGCATTTTAGAGTTCTTTGAATACAGAGGGAACTAGCCATTTGGATACAGAACTGGCTCAAAGGTAGAAGACAGAGGCTGGTAGTGGAGGGTTGCTTTTCAGACTGGAGGCCTGTGACAAGCAGTGTGCCACAAGGATCAGTGATGGGTACACTCCTTTTCGCCATTTATATAAATGATTTCGATGTGAACACAGCAGGTATGATTAGTAAGTTGCCGACGACAACAAAATTAGAGGTGTAGAGGATAGCGAAGATGGTTAACTCAGAGTACAATGGGATCTTGATTAGATGGGTCAATGGGCAGAGGAGTGGCAGATGGAGTTTAAGTTAGATAAATGTGAGGTGCTGCATTTTGGAAAGGCAAATCAGGACAGGACTTATACACTTAATGGTAAGGTCCTGGTGAGTGTTGCTGAACAAAGAGACCTTGGAGTGCAGGTTCATAGTTCCTTGAAAGTGGAATTGCAGGTGGATAAGACAGTGAAGAAGGCATTTGGTATGCTTGACTTTATTGCTCAGTGCATTGAGTATAGGAGTTGGGATGTCATGTTGCAGCTGCATAGGTCATTGGTTAGGCCACTATTGAAATACTGTGTGCAATTCATAACATCCTGCGAGTGTTCAGAAAAGATCTTCTGAATAGGAAGGATGTTGTGAATCTTGAAAGCGTTCAGAAAAGATTTACAAGGACATTGCCAGGTCGGAGGGGTTGAGCTATAGGGAGAGGCTGAATAGGCTGGGGCTATTTTCCCTGGAGTGTCGGAGGCTGAGGGGTGACCTTATTAGAGTTTTATAAAATCATGAGGGGCATGGATAGGGTGAATAGACAAGGTCTTTTCCCTGGGGTGGGGAAATCCAAAACTAGAGGGCATAGGTTTATGATGAGAGGGGAAAGATTTAAAAAGGGCCTGAGGGGCAACATTTTCACACAGAGGGTGGTGCGTGTATGGAATGAGCTGCCAGAGGAAGTGGTGGAGGCTGGTACAATTACAACATTTAAAAAGCATCTGATGGGTATATGAATAGGAAGGGTTTAGAGGGATATGGGCTAAATGCTGGCAAATGGGGCTAGCTTAATTTAGAATATCTGGTCGGCATGGACGAGTTGGACCAAAGGGATCTGTATCCATGCTGTACAGCTCTATGACTCAATGTCACCATCTGAAAATTGATTTTTTTTTAGTGTAGGTACTAAAATATACATTTCAAAGGCTTCCATTTTTGTCCATAGATTTTTGCTTATTTTCCACGTTTCTGAGGCAAATGGGAAAGTGGATAGAATGTTGCATGAGTTCTTTTCCTTGTTAAAACCTTGAGTTTTGTTGTTGTTAACATACACATCATCTTCACAAATTACTTTTGACTGCTGCATCACATCTGTCATGTTCTGTTATCAGTTGTCACTAAAAGACAAACTTAATCTACTAATTCCAGTATAGCACCATCCAGCTCAATCTGCACACTAGTTTCTCCTAATGAATTCATTATAATTACTATTTTCTTTTAGATTTTGGTGTTTGCACTTAATCCATATTCTAAACTTCTAGATTTTTGTTGACCTATGATATTTTGTGAAGCCTTTTTGGATTCTGCAAGAAACACTGTGTCATCAGCATACCACAAGTTTCTTATGTTCTTGCCTGCAATTTGTACTCCTGAAAATAGAACCATTATTTAGAGAATAAGGAGTGTGTGTACAGACTGAATAATTTTGACAACAGTACTATGATGATATTATGGTTTTAAGAGGTGTATTTTGTCCCTTTTTTTAAACGGAGAGGTTGGGAGAGAGGTACCAACAAAGTAAACAGCTTGTGAGGCCTTGGAGTATTTTTTTGGTTAGAACAATAGAAGCAGCATGAAGGGGTGGGGTCAAGCTCCCACAGAACCAGGATGTTAGTTTAACTTTCAGCAGTTTCTGGGATCTTGAAGCTGATGTGGAAGCTCTTATTCCTTTCTCTGTTACAGCTAAAAGCTGGGGTTCTCTTCCTGCTGCTAGAATTGTATATGAATTTGGCTTTGCCAAGGGTGTGTTTATGCAATGTTACTATGTTGGAGCAGTTGCTGTTTAGTAGTTTAACAAAAAATTTCTGTTAACTTTTCCAATAG